ACTTAACCTTCATCCTAACCCTGTAATGTATCCCTTAATACTTAACCTGAACCTAACACCTTATCTTTTACCTCAACCCAACCTTAAAATTCAACCCCACCAAACAGATGGATTTTTACCTTCTTTTTTAAAAAAAATATAAACTACAGGATCGGAATTAAACCAGTCTTAAAGAGAGTTTAAATTTCTCTAGCAGGGACATAGGAATAAAACCCTGACAGAGATTTCTACCCTTCACCAGTCCAAAACTAATAAAAAAAATGTTGGTTTTACATAAATGTAATGTTTAAGCTAAAAGTGGCACTAAATGTACCAATTAAACATAATACACAAAACACCTCATGTTACTTTTCTTTGAATGAGCTTTCTAAATTTCATTTACCCACAAACTTCAGAAGTGCTTGGTTCCAAATTCCTAGTTTGATGTTTGAGCTGTACATGTATAATCATGGTCATGTGTACTATGTGCTTCATACTATATCCGCCAGGGTTACTTGTACTGGCACTCAACAATGCACATGTATGTCCAGTAGTAGGACTTTTTTATGCTGTTACCTCTTACTTGTGACGCTGACAGCCAGGAACATAGTAGCTGTTTCCTGGCCTTGCTGTCAGTCAGCTAAGCTATAGGTGGGGTTTTGAACAAAATAACCAGCTCTACCTCTGTAAGAAATTATATATACTTGCATTGAAAGTGACACTGCATACTATTGTGGAACACATCAATAAAGTGCCAAGGAAGGTGGTTACATTACTATGTAGGGCTAGTATACCCTCAAAAAATATGTGTGAGGCATTGATTTTTAAAATGATTTTAATTTGATATACAGTATAATTAAACACTGCTATTTATATACATTTATATGAGCAACTGAGAAGGTAAAGGACATGATATTTGTTTTTGTCAATTGGGTTTAGTGACACTAAGTATGCAATGGTGTCATCCAATGTTTTAGACACAGCTATGAATGTATGCAGAAACTGCAGTATCCATTTCGCTACAGCTCCCAACAGGAGAAAGTACAGCATTTTGTAAAAATAGCCATAATTAGAGTTCCCAGGGATAATAACAAAAATATTGAAGATTTCATGTTGGGCACAGTATGCACATCAAAACCTTATACAAGTGGAAAATAACAAAACATATAATGAATATATAAGAAAGAAACATGAAAAGTATGGTAGCCATAGCCAATGGTAAAAATATAAACTTGGTTTTCTTTAATACTGGGATACAATTATGCTAGCAGCATTTCAATTAATCGTGTGAGATAAATCCAAGTTAACCTACTTTCATCACCCTTTTAATACTTATCGCTGGAATCTCAAGAAACAAAATACCAGCTGACTGTCAGCTAAATAAAAAAATAATAATGCAAATATTAATGTTTATATTTAACAGAACTATATTTTTTATCTGTTTCCCCATGTCAGATTACTACCTTGCCTTTAAATAAGAAACATTTAATAGGCTAAAATCTGTAGAAAAACATGGCTTGGAGTGGTGCTGACAGTACCAAATTCAAAGGATTTTTTTTTTGTGTTATATTATAGGTTGTTTGCATGCATGGCAAGGAAATTAAATGCCATATACTCAAAGAAGGCTCCAATAATGAACACAAACATGAAACATATAGGCATATTTTTAAAGAATTAATTTTTTGAGTTCTCAGTTTTATGTATACTAAGCTCTATTTACATCTCAAAGTGAAAACCAATCTCTGAAAATAGTTCTCCAGGCTTCCTCTAGTGTTGTTCATATAAGCAAAATAATTTGTTTGTTTGATTTATTCTTAAAACCCAACTCCAACTTGAGCAAAAAATTCTAATCTCATTTTTTTAAAAATTCACACCAGAACGTGGAACAGGAAAGGCACATTTTCCTGCACGTGAGTGCACAGTCCTTGAGAGATACATGCAGGTTCCATTTAATTTTTGATGGCACCCCAAACGCATCTTACATCCACCTGCATGGAACCACACTACCATGTGGTTTGGTGCATTGTGAATTGAAAAAGCAGTGCTTGCACAACTTTTTTCCATGTTTGGGTACCTTTGACAACCCACTGAAATGAATAGGCTGTATAAACCGAAACGGACCATATGGGGCTGCACGTAAACACACAAGTTCTGGTGGGAACCACCCCTAAAAATTAAGCTGATCTCTACTGGGTTCAATGATGTCCTGCATCATACAGCTAATTGCCTACATGTTTAGGGAATCAAGGCCCATCCCACCTGGATTCACCAAAGAATGCTGAAGTTATCAGTAAGAAGGAAGGAAGAAGGAAAAAGAAACACTTGAAAATGGATGTGTGTATATATATATATATATATATATATTCATATATATTTTTTTTTTTTTTTAGGGTTGTGGGAGCCCTCTTTTGGGGGTGGAGGGGGAACAAAATGGGGTTCATGACAATCCCAGATTTTGGGCTGGGAGGATCAAAGTTGCATTTTACTGATCCTGCTTTTATGCAGATATCATGCTATCTAAGGTCCTAAAGCATTCCAGCAAAATGTAAAAGAAATAAACCTTTAAGTATAAACTGACACTAGCTGAAATGATATCATAAAACAATGAGGAAACAGCCATATGTGCTTAATATATACAGAAGGCATGCTTTCAATCTAAAATAATAGAAAAGCCCTTGTTCTTTACTCTTTAAGCCAAATAAAGGCCATTTGCTTTCCAGGTGACTTATCCTGTAAATTGTTTTCTCACCGTGGTCGCTTTCAGAATAATACTGATTACACTGTCTGACTCACTAAAGATACCTATTTTTCTGTTTTTTTATTAATAAGATTACAGCAAGTTGATATTTGATTGGTGGTTTTTGGTCTCTCCACTTCACACATCATTACTGTTCTTTGCACTGCCACATTCAACAAGACTGATCACTCTATGAGCACCAGGAATAAACAAGATTAATTTTTTTCCTGATAAAGATAAGACAACTGGAATCAGATTGGATGCTATAGTAAACTCCTCCATATTTCTTTTTTACACATATGGGCCCCTAATTTTTCACATTGACAGCTTTTCTTTATGTATCTCAATATTCAAATACTAAATACTTTTATAACAATGACAGTCCATCTGTTGTCAAGAATTTCATTTTAAAATCATACATAACAGAAATTTCTGTTTGAATACCATAAAAACTCTGACACATCTGAGCTTTCATTAAAAAGCCTAAAGATGGGGCTTGAATACCAATCTGCCACCACTAATTAGTATTTTCAGTTGAGCATATTCACTTTCAGACATATTGCTGTTTGCACATGGTAATTTAGGTAAACAGATAGCATCCACAGCTGCATCAATTAACATTGCTAATCAAAACTGAATTCAGGTAATTAGACCCATTTATGCAAAAAAAAAAAAAAGAACAGTAATTCGGGAGAAAGATGGGATCTTTGGTAATATTCACAAAAGACATTGGGAAAATGAAAAAAGAAGGAATGTGTGTGTGTGGCTAATGTTTGTGGGCAAAACTGATAAATTGAAGCCGAGTACTTAATTGCTCTATATTAACAGAGATCTGCTTGCTTTTTTTCTTCCAAAATGTTTTCATTGATAATTAGAAAGGATTTACATTTATGTGGCTAGAACACTGGCATTGGGCCTATTTAGATAAGGAATTTCCTGATCACTGAAACATGATCATAGCCCTGCGAGGTACTATGAAAATGTCACACAAATAAGTATTATTGTTTACACTTTGTGGGCATTGCTACAAAAGAAATTCTTAAAAAGCACTGCTATTCCTCTTTAGCTGAGTGCATGTTTCACCTGCATCACAAGTTACTGGTACCCATGGCAATATGTGCAGTACTGTGTCACAGGTCTTAAGGGTTCCCTCCTACCAACATACACAATTAAAGTACATCTAAAGCCATACCTTTTTTTATATATTTTTGGATAGAGTAGGGAAGGGATAAAACCATTGCAAATGTATTTTTGCTGTCTTTATCCCAAGGAGATTTTCCTTTATGTCCTGTCCTATACACAGACAGGAAGTGGGAGGAAACCTCTACAAAATGATGGAAACTTCCCTCTTAGAACATTATTCACCAGATAATTCCTATAATAATATTTACTCTGATCTGTTGTTAAGGTGACAACTGTAAAATGTTTGATTCTCTATCATATTCAGTCCTAGTGACAATAGTTACTAGAATAAATAGAGAGTGCATCTCCTTAGCAAATTGCGATTAAAGGGGAATACACTAACCAAAATGACATCTTACCTGGGTCCTTGGCATTGTGCTTAGAAATTAATCTAGGAATACACATGACACTCCTGGTCTACCAATGTAGTATAAGGGACAAAAGTCAGGGTGAAATTTTCTTCACTAAACAACTTTTGGAAATATGTATAAAAAAATCATGCTAACACCACGTCTACACTGTAGTGTATTATAGTGTTTATTCACCACTGACTTTGTATTATTAATATACCAGTACCTACATGACAGGCATAATCTATCTTTAAGAACACATTATAATTGTACTTTGTGGCTGTACAGAAATCAGAAACTAAAGGAACAGGGTTAGGGAGGGCTAAATGAAAAAAGGAAGGTAAAGTTAATAAAAAAATGGGAACCTTGTATTAAATATCTGCAGTTCTGTCCTAAGCTAATTTTTTAACTATGTGGCTGATGTTTGAAATTATTTGGTAAATGAAAGTTAAGGGGAAAAAAAGGCTACATGGGATAGAACAGTACAGTTAACTTTTTTAAATGGGAAAACCTTAGAATCTTCAATTGTTCACCAATCCAGCCCAGCACAAGGACAGTTTTAATTGTTCTAAGATTCCAATTTATTATACCGTTTTAGAATCCTGCTAACTGTATGCCACAGGAGAGCCAGAAGGATGATGAAAACAGATGACAAATGAAAAAGGCTAAAGTGATATTCTACTACTTACAATAGAGACAAGAAACACAATACATACTTGTCACAATAATATACTGACAAATTGCTCTATCACCTTTTTGCTCATTAGGTTCCAGTGTCTTGGCTTGATCCCTGGTGTACACAAAGCTGTTACAAGGGGCATGTTGATCTTAAACTTCTCAAGCTTGGTCTTAATGGTTGTAGCGACTTTAAGAGGTCCGTGTAAGTCCGGGTGATAAAATGCTTTTGTCAGTTTGTAACTAGTCTTCCATAAATTCTGCACCTGATGACAAACATTTTTCAGAAAACAGTTATTGATTTTTTACAGTTGTGTATGACTCATCTATCATATTGCCAGGCCCAGGGTAATTCTTGTCATATTAGACCAATAAAATTTAAATTTAAATTGATTTTACAGCAAAACAGCACATTAGTCTTTCTTTAGGGAATGGACAGCTCGTTTTCAGATCACTCTTCAAAGAGGTGTTCCATTCCGCTATATTACAAGCTTAAGTGTACCATAAAATATAATCCCTTCTTCCGTATTGTGAACCAGAACCTTTCATAACGAAAGTGATCCCAGATCGCCAAATTAAGCACAACTTATATTAGGTGCCAGAGCAAAGTTACGACATACCTCCTCCTCTACCTTTTCTGCATTGACCTGTAGAAGAGGCCCATTCATCCATTTCTCATAGCAAGTGCTAAAATGTGCAGCGGTTGTCCATAGTTCTTCATAGGGCTCTTTTATTCTACAGATCTCAGCTATATGATCGAATGTGCTTATTTGTTCAACTTCTAAAAGCATCTCCTCTTTGTTAATTAGAGATCTCTGAAAAAAAAAATACAAGCCTTAGTAAGTAATTGAATTACTTTATTCATCAAACCCCTCATCTATTTAGCGACTATTTTACTTTCACTATAAGGTCAAATGTAGATTTATATGGTGATTTTTAAGAGCACTGTACCGTATATTTTATGATTTCTACAACAAAAGTAGTCATGTGCCATAAAAACTCATGCTTCATGTAACTTTTTTATGAATTCAGCCATAATTAACAGCACTTTTAAAAGTAGCAATAGCAGTGATTGCAGAAATTTCATTCAGTGAACTGGCACAGAAGGGAGGCAAAAAAATGGTAGTTTATAGACCACAAGTTTTTGGCAAGTATCAGCAATTATTTAAAACAAGTGCTCAGTTAGGAAGTCTATCCCCAAGAGCCTAGTGCTTGGACGTTCTGCTGTTCAATAAAGGATTACTCCATCGAAAACAGTAAACATAAAAATATTTCAGTTTTTAGTAGATGCTGAAATGTTAAACCACTTAAAAAGGTCTATGCTAGTCATTATGAGGGGTCCCTCTTTGTTTGTTGTATTTTTTAATCTCTTCTACTGTATGTCATAGAGAACACACAAAGGTTGGAGGGAACACCCCAAATGGTCTGGAATTATACCAGGGAGGTCTCACGGTATTAAGAAGCTGATTTAGCCCACCAGGGAACTATAAGTCAAAATCACTTTTGAGTGCACTGACACTTTAATGAACTGAAATACACTAATGTTATCCACATTTTAAATTATTATTACAGTGTAATACCAAATCCAGTACGGATATAGGACGTTTTGAATAACTTACTGAAGGCATAATATCAAATGTGTTGAGAAATCATAATTAACATAAATCCAGCTCTTTGCAGCTTAGTGCAGCATCAAACACAAAGTGCAAAACTGCCAATTTTTAATTTTATTATGGCATTGGCAGTATGAGCAAAAAAAAGTGACATACCTTACTTAAGTCTGGTAACTTTGAATATGACATTACTTTATAATAAAACCATAGTATATTTCCGGAATGTTCAAGAGAAGACAACAGGCCACATATCTTGGTGTAAAGGGAGACTGTGTGTTTCCCATAAGAATCAAACCACTTTATCCTTTAATTTTGTAGCTTTCTCTTGCAAAAATGAAAGCTGAAATTTGACTGGTCACTGCAAGTGATGCAATTGCTTTCCTTTATTTTATGCTATTTTTCCCATGAGGCCTGGTGTTCGTTTATATATTTACAAACCTAATGCCCAACTGTTTTCAACATTATGCATTGTAACTGAGTGTTTATATAATTCAGCTCCTCTTATTATGACACTAGGCTATGTATACGCAGTGAACAGTGAGCCCACCTACCTAACCAGTGGCCATTAAGCAAACCTACATACAGTTACCTTTTCCTTTAAAAGTAGCTCAAAATGACTAAGCATAGCTTTGCATATGGAAGAAAAAATAGGTAATAGGTAAAATTAGAAACTACAATAATATCTATTTTTCTTTAAATGCAGAGATAATGTTTAAAGAAAAATTATTTGTTGTCTATCTGATCATTTATATTGGTCAATCTGCCTGTTCCTTTGATACACAGGGTATTCAATATAGCAGGGCAAAAAGCAGTGACAAAGTACAGTAACCCATATCAGCAAAACTGCAGTTTCCCATAATCCAATCAGTTGAGTAATTGTTAATTGTTTTCTATGTGTTACAGTACCTTACATCTGTTACTGTTGTTTTAATTTACTTTTTACACAAAAATATGCTCAGCAATGATTAGAGAGGTAGGCAAAAGCTAGCACTGAGCAATACATATAAAACAACAATGTGCCAACAGTGATTCAGTTGAAAAATTGAGGGTGACCCTGCTCAAATTATGAATCTTAATAGACCATACTCCTAAGTAGGGCACTAGATTAGTAACCACCATATATAACACGTAATGTGGTGATTAGTCATTTACAAGTTCAGGCCCCATGACAGATACCAGAGCATGAAATACACAACACATCACTCCAAAATGCATTATACTGCTATTATTCATTAGGGAACTTAAACACATAGAGAATCCTTCAAGGCTTTTATCTGTACCAATCTATAACGATTAAAGAGACAGAAACCATTTATAGAATCACAGCTGGGAAAAGAGCCCCAGCAATTGTTCCTACAAAACTCATACAAAACCTACAATAAAAATAGAACTGATAATACAGTCTAGACAGCACATTCTTAAGTTTGTATTTAACACAATATAGTATTGGCACTGGGACTGTATATCACATTGCAAATCCAAACAAAATGATGAGTGTAGCTTCCCATTCACCTACTGCAATGTGCAGAAGCCCAGGGGATATACCTGACCACAGTATAGTTAGATATGTCTAATTACAAAGATTAAAGCCACAGTTGAAAATAGCATGCCAACTGACTACTAAATAAAATTACATTGCATCATATGATACTGAAACAGCTATGATGCAGAATATTGCAAAAACCACAAATTACTACAAATGTAATTCTTTGCTTACAATGTTTTAACAGACATTTACTAAATAGCCTGCAGCACATATTTAGGTTACCTGTTTGCTTGCTATACCAAGACTAAAATTATTTGGACATAGAAATCTACATAATATCCATTTGCCACCACCTTCAAAGATAAATGTTACACAGGCAAACCTAACATGATAAAGGATGAAAAAGCAGACACTGGTAATAAGACAGAGAAGGCAGCAGGAAAATTACACTGGAGTACAATGTACTGCATTGTCAGTGTCAAAGCAATCCAGTGCAGCAACATTCTTAAAGACAGCATACCTCTTCCATAAAGTCTTGTATTCTCCTGCTGATGGAGCTAAGCTTCTGTACATTAGTAGTAGCTTCAGTCATCCGGTCTTTCTTCTGGAAGTCTTTCACCTCAATGAGTACATCAGCCAAGCGCTTTGTGAAATCCTTCTGCCACTGTGCGAGCCTTGCCAGAGCCCCATCATGCTCCCTCTGCAGTCGTGTCTCACTGACAAAGTGATTGCAAGGCACATGAGAGAGAAGGGGGAGAAGAAATGGAATCTTCTTTTTATATAATCCACTGGCATGCTACTTTTTTTTTTTTTTCGTTGCGTTCACATTTAAATTGGACAGAATAATTTAGAGCTGGCTTTTAATTTCAGAGAGGTTAATCACCCTAATAAAGGTCAATCAAATTTAATCTTCACTAAAACTGCTCAAGCTTTCATCACCTGCAGGACTGGTATTATTACCCATTTCCAATGCAGAAAAAAAGAGTGTAGGCTCTGCATTTACTATGCATTGCTAATGCCCCATCTCTAGCTGTCATTAACACTTCAAAAAAAATTATTAATTCCGCTGAAATTATTAAAAAGGTCATTTCAACAATTCTGGAGGAAAATCCTGTTAAAAAAATTGTACATCAGCTGTGATTCTGGCTTAACTTGCCTCTAATCCTTCTCTTCTATTCATCATCCAGCGAATGTATAACAATGGGCTAAACCTCAATTATATTAAACATTACTGGATTTAGGTTAAAACAACAGTGACATTTTCTAGCAGACTGATCTTCAGTGTAAGCTGTGGTGACATCATCAATCCGCCTCTTATTCCTATTCGTTGTATGTATCCCCTCATTACATTCACGGTGACACTTGGTATGAGAAAAAAAATGGTTTGTCTGGTATTCATTACCTGCTGTTAATGATAGGAATGATTCTCTGAGGCCAGGAAAACGTGTTTCCGTTAAGAATAATGTCCTCTTTTGATAAGGATGCATAGTCCATTAGGAAAAGCAGATTTTCTGCTGCCACTGCCAGCTTTTCCTAGGAATTGAAAGAAATAGACCTGCATTTACATTGATGACCCCAGCACAGAAGGATAGAAGTAAATGTTCTTGTTGAAGGTTTATCAGCATGCTTTAATGCCTAACACATTGTAAAAGCCCCACTTATGGCCCTATTAGGAAAAGCACAATGAACTGTGACCATATGCATCAACATCTCCCACTTCGGCTCCAGATTAGTAATACAGACTTTTCTGGGCTATACTCTCAAAGCGCTATCTTTAAAATGGCAGAAATATTGTGATAGCATAATCCTATCACAAGATAAAGAGAGATGTGGAAGAAAACAGTCCAGCCGTTTTCCAAACAAACCTAAATGCTGCCACCATAAAAGAAGATAAATTAGAAGCAACACAAGATAAATGGACACCTTAAACCTTACCATAATGGGCTTGATAACCTTAGAAAGAGTAGGATCACCTCCATACAGCATCCTATTTATAATCCAAATTGACTTATCAACTGCTAGAAATGTGACAATATATAAATAAAGTGTGATTTTACCCTTCAAATCTCTGCAAGTTGTATTACTATTAATATATGCTACAAGCTTTCTCTCCGTCACTGTCACCAGTGACGCTCATTAACCATGTGTCATTGTGGCATTTTCACAGCATCGTCTGCAGAGTCGCTGCTTGGCTGAGCACAGAAAACTATAAGTCACGCAATAAAAAAGTGCACTTAAATTAACTGATGAAAGGCATTATGGGAAATTTAGAAAGAGCCAGTTTGTTTTTTTACAATAGACTAGAAAACATAATGGGCAAGACTGATACTGTTGTGCTACAAGTCAACATCTGTAATGCTGATAGAAAACAGGACCTGATATTCTGGGAGAAAGAAAAATGAAAAAAAGAATAAAACAACTGAATTAAAAAAATTGCTGTAAAATGTCACTCAAAATATCTCTATAATTAAAGGAAAACATAAAAAAATCTCCCCCCAAAAAATAGACTTAAGATACCTGAATCTCTGGTAGCTCCTTGCTTCTCAGACTGTCAATGTAGTTTTGCAGCTCAACAAGAGCAGATGTTGATGCAGCCATGGCAGATATTTTTGTGACAATGCCATCATACTGCCAACAAATTTTTCGATTAAACTTCATTGACGTGGAAGTAACTTTATTAATTATGATATTAGTCAGCTGGTGGGTACGATCAATCATTTGCTGAAAAAAAAAAAAAAGAGAAATAAAAAGTCAGACAAGGCGACATCTAATCATAGATAAATGTTGTTCCTTTCGCCTACGTGTCACAGATTCTGTCCCTCCTGACCCTTTACACAGCCATTGACTGTCACATTTAGATTCAGCCAGCTCCCAGCTTCTCTTTATCCCTGCCTTAGATCTAAGACTCTTGGCTATCAGGAAGACAAGCGTCACCAGCTGTCTTGGAGCAAAAAGGCAATCAGGTGAATAGTACTTATTATCTTTCATTGCTTTCTGAGGAGTGACAAGATTGATTTGGGACTGAGAGCACATCCCTATATCAGGAACAATTACGGTGGACCCAGGTTTCCTCCCTTGAACATATGTAAAACTGCGAAGTCTGCATCTTCTTTCCTCACCTGCACTATAAATAAGAGCTTACAAAAAGGCATTGTACATTACACAAACAGAATACCTTTATTTAAAAATAAACCTGGTATTTCACATTCTGGGGACAGAAAAACTATGTGCAATTTTATCTCCCTGGCACTCGAGAGACAGCTTTTTCCACTACATTAGTCTTAATTAGGCTCAGGGAAGCCGTTAGGGGGTGTCTAAGTGTGCTCTAGGTATATTCTTCTATGGGAAGTGACTTTTTTTTAAATATCTTTTTTTCACACATTAAAATGATTTAACAATGTCATTATAACATTAATGTGAGTGTTTACAATGATAGAAATATACTCAGAAACATTTATATTATTATGCATGGCGCTCTAATGATGCAGCTTAATGCACAACAATGGGTTATATCAGCCCTGACTGATCTGATTTTATATATATATATATATATATATATATATAAAAATATATATATATATATATATATATATATATATATACACACACACACATATAAGAATTTGATTGGTTACCATGAATTATTTGCCCCTTATTCTCATGATAATCTGAATATATCTACATATAAATAATATCACATTACACAAGACCCTGTAAAGAGAACTACAGCTTGCAATGACATTATAGAAGAAATTCTGAAACTGAAATGGTAATTATAATGAAAACTGAATTGTTTGCGTTATAAGGTGTGACATGAAACCCATAAAGGGAAATTATAAAAAAACATGTCTAGCTAGTGAATTATTGTCTAGCAAATCCTCTACCTTGATCTACTTTTCTATTGTTTAGTGCCACAGGGGCATCAGAGACTCAGGCTGCAGCAGCAGAGATTGCAATCATTTATTACTTCTCAGCAGTGAAGAGTCAAATGTGTGTGCTGTAGTATAGAACAGCATTAAATACCAGAACCTTTTAGTCGTCTGAATGATAAACATTTACTACAGGCCATATTCAGAGGTTTGTGACTCTGTTTTTCAATGTTATTAAACTATAAGTCTAAAATGCCAACTTTTAATTTTTATGATTTGCCTAATAGTGGCAAGGTAAACACTTAACTCAACATTGCGTGTGAGTATCAAGACAAACTAAGTGTTCCTTATTTCTCGCAAAATTTACTGTTAGAGAAACTCTGTACATCCAGCATTTTGATTTCCCTATTCCATAGATTATGGCAACACATTGTTTAAACCATGTGCAGGCCCAACCAAATATCAGCCAAGAAGTTGATTGGTCCAAGCACTGCTATACTGGATGGATAGAGGATGGACAGCTGTCTCAATTCTCAATGCTCTCCTTGGTACTTCTGTATATAGCCAACCTAAGGTTTAAACTGACCATAACATTAAATCTACATACAATGCCCATCCAGGGCCGGAAGGGAGGTAAGAGGGAGGGTAGGGAGGATATTTTAATTTATACACAATTTATCTTTTTCTTTTTTCTATTTTGCCTTCCTTAAAGGTGAGATAGATAAGTAGAAGAGAGAACTAGTTAATAAAGGTCACATAATTTGTTCACAAATGCCCATTTTGGTTCTGAAAAGAGGTAAGAGGGAGGGTCAGGAGGGATGGTAGGGAGACTATTTAGATTTATACAAAGTTCACCTTTTTTTCTTTTTTTTTTCTCTCACAATATATTCAATATCATTATCACACTAAAATGGTTTGTAATCTCACAACCTAAGGGAAAACAGTGGGAGGAAAGGAAAGAGGTGTGAAAGGATACAGGGAGAAGGTGGCAGGGCTGAGTAACTTTAATATTTTACGCATTCAAATTTAGAGGATCTCCACCCCTTCTACTGTGGTAGACAATTATGAATGTAGAATGGGGACTTAAGACATATGCCTTTTTATATGTTTATTTGTTGTAGTTTTTTTCTTCTCTGTGTGGTGAGTACAAGTTTTTAATGTTTGAACAATTATTTTCTTTGGATATCTATTTGTAAACTATTTAAAATTAATAAAAAAGATTAAACAAAAAAAAATCCACATACACATTTGTTTAATGACAGAAATGTTGTTGGGTAAAAATCCACAGTAAAGTAAAGCAATGGAATAGCTCATCTGCAAAGCATTATTAATTTACGTAAAACATATATCTGTTTATCTGAAATCTATCAAGTAGTCTAATAAACACATTGTTGTATTTATTAAAACAAAACAAAACAAAAAGTATATATATTGAAGCTTATCAGTCCTTGGATGCAGCAGCTGCATTTGTTTTTAATGTTCAAGCTTAACACATTTTCAGCAAGTGCATAAAATACCTGTTGATCTTGCCAGAAATGTAGTCTTTATGTCAGTTTCTGTGAAAATAAATTCACCATATCTTTACTGTGTAAACTACAGCACCCCCCATCAATCCAATATGTAATGGAGATGAACAGAGGCAGATATGTTTGAAGTCTAGTCTGTGAGACAATCATGGATACAGTGGAAAAAAGCATAGGCATTAAGGGGGAAGTGTGTTATTCAAAGGATTACTGAAAATAGAGGAGACAGAGTTACAAAAGGACCAACCACAAGGACTGATAAGCTGCAATATGCTGCATTTAGCTTTTTAGTTTTTAGTTTAACCTAATAGTGCCAGCGCCTCCTGGCCCTTTAAGAGGTTCAGAAGCCGGGATGCGGGCGGGGTTTTAGGGTCATGTGACCGCTGTGATTCGCCGTCACGGCGGTCACATGATCGGAAAAGGTCCCAATCAAAAGGGTACCTTTCCATGAGTCACGGACATATGTGCTGGGAGCGTGTAGAGCGCACGCTCTCAGCACATATGTATTTTCTAATTGCATGCAAATATGCGGCTGCTCATCAAGGCCCAGACGCCGAGAGGCCGCATATTTGCGTGCGCTCGGCTCCAAGGGGTTAAATATGTTTAAATATACTTTAACCCCCCACCCCAGAGGGATGAGTGTGTTAAAAATGAGGGAAGAGTAGCCAGAACCAATGGATTTGCTAGCTAGTAACAGTTAGGACTGATACACAAGCGTTGAATACACAGAACACTGATGATGTTTTACATTGTGATAACCACAAACACCAGTAATCTTCTTAGAGATCCAAGAAGGAAAACTGCTAAATATACAGAATCCTGTTCCTATTGCAGTGGAGCATGCACTTATTAGCAAGAATTTTGCTAAGAACATAGAGTATGCTTTTTCAGCCCCAGTTAGTAATACACCTGGGTCACTCCCTTTTCCTGCCTGTATACATGGCTTTAATTTGCTCATGTCAGTTAACCACAAAAACAAACTTTATCAGGGATATCTGTTGCTTTCATTCTCTACCCTTGCTAGTTATCATGTTCAGGCAAATAATTTTTAATAACCATAAATATTAATGGTTTGTTAAATACTTTTCATGGACCAAAATGATGAAAAACTAGTAAGAAAAATGCAGATTGTATAACATTGAGGCTCATAAAAACCACAACAATTATTTCTTTTTTTTAAAGACTCTGTACAATGAACCACTTATTTGCCTTTAGTAAATCAATCCCAAAGGAAATTGTACTTTGCAAATTTGAATGTGGTGAAGTTTCACTTTGCAAAGAATACCCAATCACGTGCTAGGGAAATAAAAAAAAAAACTGCATTTTTGAATGGGCATGATTAGAGGAGGGGAGCCAGCAAAATTTCACCTCATTCACTAAGCAAATTCACTTGCAAAGTGCAACTTCCCTTGCAAATTGAACAGCCTACATGCCTATAGTAAATTAGCCACTCTGTGTACATTGTAACAATGTCTGGAATTAGGGCAGAAAAATAATGTACCTGTTTAAACTCAGAGCAATCCATAAGCATCATCTTCATGGGCACAAATACTGGCAACAAAGCAACATCTGATGCCAGTTCTTTCATTTTGTTAATTTCTCTGGCATAGACTTTCAAACTGACATCTTTTTGTGCAAGTGTTTCAAGACGCTTTTTTCAATTTGAGGAGAGAGCATTTGTAGAAAAGGTTTGTACACTTTGGCATATCTAAAAGCACACAAAAAACATTCATTGCTTGATAAATAAAAAAACAGTAACAAATAAAAATGAAAAAAAAAAAAAACATTACTGTAGGACTATACAAGGCATTTATACAGTAGGCATTTTGTTTTCAAGTCAGTGAGACATTCAATGTAAAGAAAGTTACATTTAAGGGTGTACTGTATTCATATAAGCTTACGTGGAAATGTATGGTTTTCAAATAGTTGTCTAACTGATAGAAGTATGTCCAGCTTACAACCGCCCCATTGAAGATTTACTGCTACAGGGTGGCCGTTCTATGCAGAATCATGTATATAAATGTGATTCTGCACTTCCTAGTGTAGGGGGTGCGCCACTTTGTCACGGCAGAAGCCAGTCAATGGGCGCCAGCCAATGGATGAGCGCCAGCACCCGTTGGTCGCCGAGGAGACTGACAGGACACAGCTCTGCCTGTGTACGCAAGGCAGAGCTGTGTTCTGTCAGTGGAGATCTGCTAGATTTTCTTTCCCTGCAAAGCAGGGAAAGAAAATCTAGCAGGTTGCCTAGTATAAGCACCACATATAGTATACAAATTACATAGCTAAGCACATAGTTAACCCTTTGATTGCCCTAGCTGTTTAACCCCTCCCCAGCCAGAGACATTAGTACAGTGTCAGTGCAACTTTTTAGCATCGATCACTGTATTAGTGTCACTGGTTCCCACAAAGTATCAGTTAGTGTAAAAATGTCCATCGCAATATCGCAGTCCTGCTATAAGTCGTTGATCACCACCATTTACTAGTATTAAAAAAAATACAGTATATATACCATAGTTTGTAGACGCTATAACTTTTGTGCAAACTAATCAAGATAAGCTTATTGGGTTTTTTTTTTACCAAAAATATGTAGTAGAATACATTTTGGCCTAAATTTATGAAGAAATTAGATTTTTTTAATTTTTTTATTAGATATGATTTCTAGAAGAAAATATTTTTTTTTAAAATTGTCTGTCTTTTTTTGTTTATAGCGCAAAAAAATAAAAAGTGCAGTAGTGATCAAATACCACCAAAAGAAAGCTCTATTTTGTGTAAAAAATGACATAAATTTAATTTATGTACAGCATTGCATGACCGCGCAATTGTCAGTTAAAGTAACGCAGTGCTGTATCGCAACAAAATGACCTGGTCAGGAAGGGGGATGAATCTTCCAGAGGGCAAGTAATTAAACAATTTTTTTATTATGCAAATTAGACATTTATTTGGCAAACAGATATAGCTCTTAAGGATCAGTCAGTTAAACTAAACTTTTTTCATTGGTTACAGTTGAAACACATTTTATTTTAACCACTTTGCATCCTACCATATATGCAGCCTCTGAGCGGGTGGGCCTTAACTCTGTATATACGCGGCCCTGTATAAACAACTTACCCTGCTGAGAGCATACTCCCTACATGCTCCCAGCACAGTAGCCAGCTGGGATCAGTAAGCTCCCGATGCATACTTGCCATCGGGAGCTTTCCGATCATGTGACTGCTGTGACAGCCAATCACAGTGGTCACATGGCCGAATTGCATCTCCTCCACCTCCTGGCATCTAGAACCTCTTAAAAGGCCAGAAAGCATTGGCATGAAAGGGTTAAACTGCTCTTACAGTTGTATTAGTTACAGCTTTGTGATACTGCTTATAACTTTGTTCTATGTATTTAATTGGGGATATACTATATACAAATGATATGAAAACTGTGATGAAATGTGGTAATGCTGAATTTTAAATATCTTACCGCAGCCCAGCTACCTTATAAGGAATGTTCTACAAAAAACCTACCTTTAGTAATAAATAGTTGTTACAGTAGGGGCTGTTAGCATGTGGAACCTGTATTTAGTCTAGATATTACTGGATAGGTATGGTGAATATTGTTGTACTTTCAATTTTTATTTTTGCATTATACTGTTTATATGTTCTGTACGTCATCACTTTTTGTGATGTATCACAAAATAAAACTTGTGAATCATTACTAAATGTCCTTATTACATGAGGCCATTTAATCTATTTTACCAATTATCAAAGCCACTACAAGTCTTCCCGAATTATCTCAAGAAGTGTTAGTAACATCTCATAAATTGGATTGTATATAATATAGACTGCAACTGTAGATTGATGGTCTAAGAAACACGTAGAGGCTTTGGCATAGCCCAAATAATTTTTTTCCCTCTCTAGATTGTGAGCTTGGATATAATCAATGAGGATTAGACTCCCACATGGAGTTCACTTTGATTCATATCAATACTGGAATATACAGTGTATATGGATAGGGATTAATGTTAAAACTAGGGGTGTTACACAGTAATATTTTGTACAGTTGTAATATGTTTGAATATGGATTTTCATATATACAGCAAAAATGTGGTACATTTTTAAAAATGTGTCACAATCAAAGGGGAATTTAACAGCAATTGATGTGTGGATCGATTCATAATTATGAGTAACCTGAAAGCTCCTTTAAAAAATATTTTCAGTTTCTATACAATAGTTAACTTGGATGGAGCAGAGTTTAAACTCTTGCTTTTATTGCACCCATACACCTATCTTACTGTCCTTTTGATATATACTGTACAGGGACAATACAGTATAAAACACAAAAGCATATTTAAAGAAAATCTTGTATACTGCACTGTACATGTTGTTTAAACAGTGTTAGGTTATGAAAAATGCAAGGTAATAGTGTGAAAATAAAAGTAAAATGTTTAGATCGCAGCTTATTAAGTCCCAAACAATGACAAAAAGCCCATCAATGCTATCACTGTTCATCTAATTCCTGGAGAAAAGTAATAAGACTTAAGAAAGAACTGGCGCCATTGAATAGTGGTAAGAAATAAAGCAAAATAAATCAAAGATTTTCCTGATAAACTTCTCAATTTAAGTTATCCTTTGCCTGGGGATCTTACCAACTTAAACCATGATTGTTAGGCAATCTGTTTCATCAATCTCATTGCTAGCTTGGCATGGTCTAAAATTAAAGTACCTAAACACTAGTATTTCTACATCAGGAAGTAATTCTTGAGTAGCTATAATTAATTAGGTCTATCTTTGAGACCAGGATGTTTTTAATCCATCTTTTGTTCATATTCTATGATCCCATGTATAATAGAATGAATGTTAACCTCCAAACACCCTTTCATACATAAAATGTATCAGTGGGATTTTTTTTTTTTTTTGCATAATATCCACTTTATCATGACTTAACGTCATAACAACCCAAGAACACATCATTCTTTATGTAGCCAACTTTCCTATAACATTTTTTCTATTTGCTTATCACTAGTGTATTTTTGTTAATTAGGTTTAGGTTAGTTAAGGACTGCCTAAGCAAAGAACAAAGCAACGTTGATGGAGTTTGCTAAAAAGGAGCAATGGCTGGGGTTGGAAAGATCATACATTAAGATGAAAGATGAAACAGATGCAATACATGGCCAAGATCAAAGTATCCCATCAATTCATTCTGAGAGTCAAAATCCAGCTGAGCATCAGAAGCACTGCCTGTATAATAAGGAAGGTTGACTAAAACATAAGGATTAAACAGATGAGCTGTCTCTTGCGAACACATGGCAGTGAGGCCCTGCTGATCCACTTGTAAAGGCACTTCGGAATAATACACCTGCTACTCAATAGTGAACCCTACAGGAAGCTTGTCTAAAGAATACATTCTTCTAATGGACTAAATAGCTTGGTTTAGAATGGGATTCCCAAAAGTCTACTCTGCCAGTAGTAATGAAAACTCATTTCCTCAAAACAGCTAAGCATCTACTGAGACATCTGCATTTAAATAGGAAACAATACCTAAACACAACAGCAAGTAACTCTTAGGTACATTATGTAGAGTAAAGCCTTTATAGACTATATTTCATATAGTGCATCAAAATAAAGAGATGATAATAGTGGAAGAAATCTCATAACAAAAGAAGTTGAAGGGGTTAGAAGTAATTTGAGAAAAGGCCTCTTATATTATAAGGATTAGCTATATTTTTTCACAACACCAACACATGTTGCCCACTCTTAGTAACCTATTTCTGCATGTCATAAAGGGTTCCAAACTGCTGATAGGGGTGCTAGTGTAAACATACTCTACTGGCCCTGTAATGTTTGATGTTTGTTAGTGTACAGTCCATCCACTTTGTATCTGCACTAATAAAAGTGAACAGATAACAGAACAGGGTGACAGGTGAATATAAGCATACTGATGAAGAGTGGAAAAATTGCCTCTTTAAGGCTCTCGGCCACCTAGAATTTGACAGAGAAGCATACAGTATAACTATAGACATTTGTTCTGCATAATTGAAAAAAAGCAAATATGATCACAGAGAAACAACAATACAATGTGACTTAGATGGAAATTACTTAAAGCTGAACTCAAGGCATGTACATTTTGGGAATGGTTTTACCTGCCAAAATAATCTCTAAATTTGCACATCCTGTCCTGGGATAGGACACAGCCCTGCCAGATAGCATAACTGGGTCAGTGAACTCACTTTTCTCTACAGCAGTTAAAGAAGAATATTACATAGAAATTAAAAAATAAATGCAAACATGCATTGTTTTATTGCAGAACAGACATACTACATGGGAGATTTACTAAAACTGGTGGACACAGAATTTGGTGCAGCTGTGCATGGTAGCCAATCAGCTTCTAACTTCAGCTTCTTATATTAGGCTTTGACAATAAAACCTGGTTTCTGTGCAGAGCTGCACCAGATTATGTGTGCACCATTTTTAGTAAATCCCCCCACTATGTCTATTCTGCAGTAAAGGATTTTACTTGTATGTTGGCATGCCAAGATCATTTAAAATCCTGGCATCTTACTGGTATTGGGAGTTACATAATTCCAATGAGACCACAATTTGTACCTTGTGTTCCTGCCAGTCACTCTGCTTTCCTAGTTAAAATTGACCACACTCGGCATGTGAGTAAAGTTTGGTCAACTCTCTAGCTGTGCTGAGAACTCAGCCGAGAACTCAGCCTGCTCTCCTCCAATGATCAAACTTCTGCTAACACAGCCCCCTGCACAGCCTATTACTGAAAAGCTCAGTGTGCTGCTGTTTCTTCTCCCCCACCTCTCTGTGCCACTGAGAACAGAGGGTATGTGATCACTTATAAAAAAGGGGAAAAATGTCTTAATGTTTTTTTAATCTGTATCTATACACAAATGTTTTCCCTTTCATTTCTTTTAAACTGAATTGGTTGTTTTAAAAGGTGAGGGATTGCATACACTTTAACCAATTAAAAAAATTAACATAGCATTAATATATAAACCGTATATTCACAGCACAAGTGTGATGTGAAAAAGTACACAATATATCACTCACCTAAATAAATAAATAAGTACATAAAATGTATAAACATGCAGCTGCCCTAATAGTGAATAATCCAATAATCACCTCATGAAACAATGACAAATAAAAGCAGTGCAAAAAAAAAAGTGAAACACAATAGCAAAGTGGGAATAAGATACAAAATATAACACTTCAAAAAATATACACCAACTGAAAAATGAAAATTGTGATGAAGTGTAAAGTCCTTATTCATCCACTGAGATCACCATGTGAACAACAACGATAATTGATTAAATATAGTGCACTCAAATATCACCACGTGCTCTAGAGGAAAACCTCCCCCAATTCAGTGGCACTCACCAGATATCATGACCCATCCAAACCTGATAGGCAATAGAACTTGTGGTGAGTGTCTTGTGTAGTAGGCATCAATCAACAAGCCCTTCATCAATTATAGACTGATATGATGGTGGGGCATCCTCCAAACACTCCGTAATCAGGGAAATATGTGAAAGGAAACTCATAGCATGAATCCATTAAAAAACATTTATTGGATAGAAAGTATTGCACTCACATAAAATAAATGAAAGCATGCCAAAATATCCACAATATTCATCAAAGGTATCTGCATATCACATGGAGCGAGTGTCTCACCCGATCCTCCTCGCTGCTTGCGAGCAATACGTCACCTCTGGCGGGGGATGTAAGGTGTCTCATTCCAGAGTAAGTCATGCTGCCCGACCCTGACACGTGTTTTGTCACTTGACTTTATCAAAGAACTGGAAGTGATGTATTGCTCGCGAACAGCAAGGAGGATTGGGTGAGACTCTCACTCCATGTGATATGCTGATACCCGTAACTGTTATTGTGGATATGTTGGCATGCTTTCATTTATTTTATGTGGGTCAGTAAGGACTTTGAACTTCATCACAATTTTCATTTTTCAGTTGGTGGACTTATGTCAAATGATTTAAATATGTGTGTATATTTTTTGAAGTGTTATATTTTGTATCATATTCCCACTTGTGCTGCTTTTATTTGTCATTGATACAGAGCATTACATTGTGTTTTTATTTGAAATCTGCCTTGAGTTCAGCTTTGCTCTGCTAACCTAAACTAGACTGTCCATAAGACATAATTACAAATGATCTTCAGAATACCATTTTCTGTGACAAAAATAACATGGGTTTTCATATTTTTAATACTCATACACTTGTGGTCAAGTTTGTTCAACTCTTTCTGAGTACTTCAATGGGGATAAGAACAGATATAGTTTATTACCTGCTGCATATTTGCAAGTTTTCCAGCCTTATTATTAATGAAATAATATGATATTTAAAGAGCTGAATAATTTATAAATTAAAAGAATTTAAAATTCTTTAACTTAGAGGAGGTAAGGGTTTTTGCTCAATAATTGAAAGATCCTGTTTCTGATTGCACTACAAAATAAGCAAATCACATAATGGTAGTAATTAGAGATGAGCGAATTATTCAAAAATTCGATTCGGCTGATTCGCCGAATTTGAGGAAGAAATTTGATTTGATGCGAATTAATTCGCTACGAATTTAACTTATTAAAAGGGTTTCTAGGCTTCCCTTGGAGATGAGGAAGGACAAGGAGAAGGAGAAGGAGAAGGATGAGAAGAAGAGGAGAAAGATGAGTGAAGAAGGAGAAGGAGAAGGATGAGGAGAAGGAGAAGGATGAGAAGAAGGAGAAGGAGAAGGATGAGAAGAAGGAGAAGGATGAGAAGAAGGAGAAGGAGAAGGAGAAGGATGAGAAGAAGGAGAAGGAGAAGGATGAGAAGATGGAGAAGGAGAAGGATGAGTAAGAAGGAGAAGGATGAGAAGAAGGAGAAGGATGAGAAGAAGGAGAAGGAGAAGGATGAGAAGGACGAGGAGAAGGAGAAGGATGAGAAGAAGGAGAAGGAGGAGAAGGATGAGAAGAAGGAGAAGGATGAGAAGAAGGAGAAGGATGAGAAGAAGGAGAAGGATGAGAAGAAGGAGAAGGATGAGAGAAGGATGAGAAGAAGGATGAGAAGAAGGAGAAGGATGAGAAGAAGGTATGAGAAGAAGGAGAAGGATGAGAAGAAGAAGGATGAGAAGTAAGGATGAGAAGAAGGAGTAAGGATGAGAAGAAGGAGAAGGAGAAGGATGAGAAGAAGGAGCAAGGATTAGAAGGATGGAGAAGGATGAGAAGAAGGAGAGGAGAAGGATGAGAAGAAGGAGTTTCAACCGCTGTATGGAAGGGAATGTCACATGAAACTGTCAGAAATAGCGGAGCTCTGCAGATACACTTAGCGTGAGCTCTGCAGATACACTTTTTTGCCTGGCTTGGAATTCTTCTTATTTTATCCTACTTCTTCTTCCTTCTTCTTCATCCTCATCCTCATCCTCTTCCTTCTTCTTCTGAGGATGAGGATGAGGATGAAGAAGAAGAAGAAAAAGAAGTAGGATGAAAATAAGAGAATTCCAAGCGGCAAAAAAGTGTACTCTGCAGAGCTTCCGCTCTAAGTGTATCTGCAGAAGTAGAGAGCTCTGCAGATACACATTTTTGCCAAGCTTGGAATTATTCTTATTTTTCGATTACTATACTCTCTTCTTCTTCTTCATCTCAGTTCAGAAGAAGAAGAAGAGGATGAGGATGAAGAGGAAGAAGAAGAAGAAGAAGAAGTAGGATGAAATATAAGAAGAATTCCAAGCCGGCAAAAAGTGTCATCTGCAGAGCTCCTCTAAGTGTATGCTGCAGAATAGAGGGAGCTCTGCAGATACATTTTTGCCGGCTTGGAAATTCTTCTTATTTTCATTCCCTACTTCTTCTTCTTCTTCTTCATCCTCGATCCTCTCAGAAGTAAGAAGAGGATGAGTGCTGATGATGAAGGAGGAAGAGTAAGAACAGGACGAAGAAGAAGTAGGTATGAAAATAACGAAGCAATTTTTCCTAAAGCCGGCAAAACGTGCTATCTGCCAGAGCTCTCTCTAAGTGTATCTGCAGAATAATAGGAGCTCTGCAGACTACACTTTTTGCCGGCTTGGAATTCTTGCTTATTTTCATCCTACTTCTTCTTCTTCTATCTCTCTTTCATCCTCATCCTCAGAAGACAGAGAAGAATGAGGATGAGGATGACGAGGAAGAAGAAGAAGCAGAAGTCGGCTGGACAATATAAGACGAATTCCACAGCCGGCGCAAAAACAAAAGTGTATCTGCAGAGCCTATCCTCCTATTCTGCAGATCACACTTTAGAGGAGCTCGTGCAGATACACTTTTTGCCGGCTTGGAATTCTTCGTTATTTTCAATCCTACTTCTTCTTCTTCTTCTTATCCTCATCCTTCTTCTTCATTCTTCTGAGGATGAGGATGAAGAAGAAGCAGAAGAAGAAGAAGTAGGATGAAAAAAGCATAATTCCATCCAAACGGGCAAAAAGGTGTTATCTGCAGAGTTCCTCTTAATTCTGACAGATACTCAGTTACTGTTCACATTTTCCGCCCTCGGTTGCGACAACATTGTATCTGTTTCGAATAACCAACATCTTAATCCTCCAATGGACCCCAATCACCCCATAGACCTCTACCTAATATCTTCCATACTCTTCCCATACCCTACATTTCTTCTCACAGGATCCTGTCCCAGAGAACTTATCAGAAATCCCCCACCTCAACTTCCTCCATACTTACAGGGACACTTCAACCGGACTCTCCATCCGGGAAAAACATCCGACACCACTCACAACCAATATTAACCTCAATAGCAACATACTATCCATTCGAAACCACGAATCGAATTTACCCAAAAACCAATCAAATCACTTCACAAACACGATTCGCACATACTCAAACACCCTACTCCACCCACCCTAACTACAGCATTCTATCTATGTCTAGATTATTCACAAATTCCCCTGTCAATACTATAACCCACGCTCAAAAAATAATTCATCCACTATCACAAACTAGTCAAACTACCCTCTACAATACTAAAATATCAACTACCCTCAATCCTTAGACTAGAAACGTGAGATCGTACTATACTTTCTATATATATTGCACCATCGTGTATCTATGTTTTGTTATAGTTCTAATGCTACCAGCCCTTATAATTAACTCTCCTTGAGGTAGAGTTGACTTAGGACAAGGTGTGCTACTTCATGATTTGTACTGAACTGATGTATATATGATACACTCTCTCAATAGATATATTAAACACCAGCCCACTACATAATAATTACTTTTCGACACATGTGTGAGTGACACTTATCATATGCTATATCTATATGAGCAGAGATACTAGTTATCAACTCACTAGACGACTTATGCTCATCACCATCACACTCAACTGTCACCAACTCGTGTGTGCGATCGAATGTGTTTGTAGTCTCGCTACTTCTCCGTGCTCATCCACACCTCACCTCTGTGTGTATACTCACCCATGAACTCTCCGCTCACACCATCTACAATATCCTCACCCACAGGTCTCTCCTCACTCGCTAGACTAGTACAACGTACATAGTTGTGTGGCAACTAACTGGTTGTGTGTGTACTGATCAGTGTGTGTGTCTCTAAAGTAAAAAGAGTGTGTCTCTTCCTAAGTCCCTCTCCCACATACACCACCTGTAAATCAGTCAATTCTGACCTAACACAACTCCATATATCGTCATAGTGAGATAGATACTCGCGATTTAGAGAGCAATTATGTCTGATATGTACCATGGTAAAGTAAATCCACAGCATCATGTTCAATAAACAATGCTGATGTGTGAGTACCGGAGATAAACAGTTGTCGGCGCTGCGATGATAAAGTAATGTCTGGCGTGTGTGAGAATGATACTGCTCGGTGTGGTAGCAATCGCGGTGAGCTCCCAATCAACCAGAATAACACTCACCATGGCTACCTCCCCAATACATTATTTCTCTGCTATCCCAAACACCCCACCCCTCCCCCCACCATCCACTTTGGACCATACGTTACCCCTCTACCCCCTATCATCCCATGCAAAGCTCTAGTTTCTGTCATCAGAGAGATCACCAGCATATAGACCGTGTAGCCTGTGACAAGTGTCAGTCACAGATGTAGTGCAAGTGTGGTAAGCGTGTGTAGGAAGTGTGTGTCACCTACACACTGGAACGGAAGAAGAGGAGTTGAACCACAGGAGGCAGTGGAACTTTGTCGCCTGCAGTAGAAGTGTCCATGTGTGTAGAAATATTAGGCATGGTCTAGTTGTTTCATGTGGAGCATAGCGAAGCTGAGAGTGTGTATGTCTGGTGTGAGTGAGTAGAGAGTAGTATGTCAGAGTTCTGTGATAGATCTGTTCATGGTGGCCACGCTCGCTCTCACACAGTATCAGAGAGATATATAGTAGAGTAGATATAGAGTGAGTGTGTAGGACGCTCGAGCTCGCACGCGCGCTCGTCGCGCTGTGGGTGATGTATGGGGTATGTTGTGATTAACTGCTCCACCCCCTTATTATATGAGAGATATATATAGCTGATCCCTTAGTCCAAACTGAGTGTGTGTATTGTTGTGTCGAGTGGAGTAGTTATCCATGAGTTGGCATCCCACATTACAAAATGAGAGACTTTGATCATCCAGTAGGATCCCTCAATCAGGCTCATACAGCGCATTAGATTTTGCCACTGTTAACGTTGGAAATCCTCATTCCTTAGTTTGTCAGTTTAAAAATCACTGTCTGACCAGGGCAGTCAGTGGTGTGGACGAGTATAATGTATGGAACACACTCAATAGCCTTCCAACTCTGGGCAAAGGCTAGTATTGATATACCCACCATTAATTATGTTGTGACTATATATATATGATATCGCTCAAATGTTCCTACGCAAGTATACCCCTCTAGACCAATAATATTCACGTTTCACAACGCAGTAGGAAGACCGATCTGTCTATGATGAGCGTGCTATAATGACAAAAGGGTTCTCCCTCCGCTTTACAATACTCTCCATAGTACGACTATATTGTTACTATCTACTAGTAGGCCTCTCTTGAAGTGGGAGGAAGACCTCCAGCACACCTTCACGCGCACGCCTGGCGAATAATGGTTTCAGGCCTTTAAATATACACATAACAGTATCCTCCCAGTGTATCAATCTTTGGAACTTTCTCATTGGGTATTTGACACCTTTCAGGATATCCCAGTTTCTAACCCCCCTCAAAATCCCCTCTATGTTGTCATAATTGTGACCAGATAGGGAATCTACCCACCAGTATACTTTTGGTCTTGTAAAAACCTCACCAGTTCCTGGAACCAGGTATACAGCTTATTTCCTCTATTACTGGTATTCTAACTGCACTCAATTCAGCTTTATCCATTCTAAACTTATGAATTGAAAAGTTTCCACCAAATTATCATCTGATAATTGGACACATACTTTTAGCTTCCAAATGAGTAATAACCAGACACTGGAGGAAAAACAATAGCTCCTAATCTGTCTGAAGTGATTGCCTCCGTTAAACTTACCTACGAATATGAAAAAACGCTCTCATTTCGTAAGGGCTTGATAAAAAAAATGTAACTACATGTGGAAACCATGGTTTTCATGGGTTAACACCTGATGTTGCTAATAATGTTATTGATAATTTAGTTGTCATCCTTTTCCAATTTTCGTACTGGCATGCACTAGCCATTATGACTTCTATCTAATTTCCAGACACTGTATGTACCTGATGTATTTGATACTAATTTTCATCCTGTACCTATGTGTAAATCCAGTAAACATTTAATGAAAGAAAAAAAATACAAAATGAGAGGATTAGGGTAGGGTAGGGTCAACAACATTATTTCAGTAATCTCCAAAAACTGCTGATTATTGTGACATACAGGTAAAAAAAAAAAAAAAATTAGATTTCAGAACCACTTTAATTTACATGACAGAGCTCAGGGAGGGAATGGTGTTTTTCGTTTTTGCACACTGCAGTAAGAGTAAAGAGGTACCTGTCTATAATACTGCAGTTTGGTGACAATTGCATATATTGTGGAGATTAACTAAAATTGGAGCACTCAGAATCTGGTGCAGATGTGCATGGTAGCCAATCAGCTTCTAACTTCAGCTTGTTCAATTAAGCTTTGACAATAAAATCTGGATGCTGATTTATGGTGGTTTCGCTGATGGTTTCTATCTGCACCAGATTTTGTACTCTCCAGTTTTAGTACATTTCCCCCTGCTGTCTTTTAGAACACTGTTTTGATATCCCACATATTTTACGCACATCAACCATGGTCCAATATAAAACAATTCCTCTTGGCAAAGCTTGGTAATGTTATTAAAATATACTTTAGGAACTCAGCCAAGATACAAAACATCATATGCATTGTTTCCTTAGAATGCGTACTGCAGCACATGAATACATTATTTTATTAAACCAAATGTTTTTTAAAGCACAATATTTATGCTGTTCTATAATTAATGTGTGTGACTTACCTTAATACTGGAGAATGTGATTAGAGGTTATGATGATAACTACTAGAAACCTAACATTACAATTAAACATTTCTTAGGCTTTAGCCTCTGTGAAATCAAGCTAGTGATCTGGCCCATTTCAATAATAGTGACAACACTAATATCACAAAGATTAGCTGGAGACAGAGAAGAATTAAAAGGGATTTCAGCCTAAACCATGTTATTTTGTGATCTATAAAGTGCCAAAGCTAAAATATTATGCTCAATGCACTAAGATGCAAATCTCTGTTATTCTGTTATTCTATTAAATGATAATTGATTTCCCTAAAATGTGGAATCGTTCATGAAATGAGCATTTAAGTATTGAAAGGCTTTACTTCTCATGAATATTTATTTTTTCTAATGAAGAATAGAGAAAAGGAACCACTAGGAAAACCTATGCAACATCTTTGCAGACTTTATGGGCAACCACACCTGTTAATATAAAAATATATATACTTTATTTGTACAAACAATAATATGGACACATCAAAGAAACATGTCCTATTCAAAAATCACTGGAAATTCCCCTTCACAAAGTATAAATATTGCATAAATACATAAAGTATGTGTACATCTTATCCAGCTTCAACAGTCAACGCATTTTGCATATAACTTTCTTCAGGACCATGCATTTGAGGAGGTAGAACACTAACAACATGAACTACAAAACAAATTATTATATAATATCAGTAGTATTGATATAAATACAAGATCAGCAAAAAAAGAACAGAGACACACATGGGTAGGGCAGGTTGCGGAAGGACCCAGCAACACAGTCTTGAGGGCGAATATAGGGGAATCACACAAGGCTAGCCAGCCATGAGGCACATATGTATGCGGTGATGATGAAATAAATCAATGATGATTTAGGGGAAACTAGAAAATCTTGAATCATACTGATACCAGATTTAGGGAAAAAGAAAAAAATCTATGTATAATACCTACATGGGAGGCACACCAATATGTTAAGGATTTTTAAATTTATATTATTGCCAAGTGGCAATAGCACAAGGACCACTTCATCCCATCTTTAGATACAATAGTGCTGCAATAATTCAAAAAAGAGGTTGCCTCCAATAAGTACACATACCAGTCTGTCTCTCCTTGATTTAGCTGCTTGGTGCTGACAGTACGCAAATATGTGGCCTTTTGGCGCTGGGTCTTGATGCCAAGAGGTCTCATATTGGCGTGCTCAATGTAAACAAACATGTGCCAAGAGCGCGTGCCCATGGCACAGTTAATAGAGCCTCATGCCAAGGTCCTGATCACTGCCTGTGATTGGGAGCTTTCTGATCATGTGACTACTGTGACAGCCAATCACAGCAGTCACATTACCCCACCTCCAAGTGTCACAAAGTCTTTAAAGGGGCAGGAGCTGCCGGCACCAAGGGGTTACCATTTCCCATAAATATAGAACTGTGGCTTACTTCATAAAGCTAAATTATTGGGTATGTTAAATCAAGGAGAGGCAGAATGGTATGTGTACTTATTGGAGGCCACCTCTTTTTTGAACTATTGCAGGACTATTGCTTCTATAGATGGAATGAAGTGGTTTTTGTGCTATTGCTACTGTGTGATATTATAAAGTAAAAAATCCTTAACATATTGGTGTGGCTCCCATGTAAGAATTATATATAGATTTCCTTTTCCCTAAATCTGGGATCGGTATAATCCAATTACATTGTAGATTTTCTGGTTTACCCTAGAGCAGGGGTGGGCAAACTGCAGCTCTCCATTTCATCATACATATTTGCCTTATGGCTGGCTAGTCCTGTCTGATTTCCCTATGTTCGCCGTGTGTTGCCAGGTCCTTCAGCAGCCTGCCCCACCCATGTGAGCCTGTTCTTTTTTTTTTGCGGATTTATTGTTTATATCATTACTAGGGATAAGATGTGAACATACTTTATGTATTTATGTAATATTTATACTCTGTGGAGGTGGTATATTCAGGAGAATTCCAAGTGATTTTTTAATAGGACATGTTACTTTGATGTGTCCATTTTATTGTTTGTACAAATAAAGTATATGTATTTTTATATTAACAAGTATGGTCTCATGTGGTGCTCATAAAGTCCACAAACATACTGCAAACATACCACATAGATTTTCCTAGCAGTTCCTTTTCTCTATTGTACGTATTGGAACGTGGCACATTGAAAGCTTTATTGTTTTTTATCTAATGAAGAGTTATTTTTCATCATCTCAAATGCCTCCCTTTCTACTTTCTTCAACATAAACCACCTTGAAGCTTATGGTTCTTGCCAGCCTGAAGCTACCAATAATTTAAGAAGCTGTGATATTTTTTATGAATTACCTTTTAAAGTGAAAATCAATGTTTTATGCTAAAAATTTGTTACTCATGGTAGTACATACCATGTGCATTAAACTATTGTGAATTGAGCCAGTTGCAATGTAAGTTGTTAAACAGTTGAGGTTAAGCTATATGAAAATGAAAAACCAAATGCCTATGTTTGTTCACTATCTGCAGTCTTGAAGGCTTCAACATCACATTAATCAGAAATACTGATTTCTTGCTGGTGTGTGAGTTTTAGAGAGAGAGCAAAAGCCACACTTTTCGTAAGCTGCCCGCCCATCAATATGCAGGAACCATTCAAACACTAGATGCAGTCAGTTATAAAGAGTGGTAGTATGAAAAAAGATACATCCTGAAGGTCATGATACCATTAACTTTGAATTATCAAGAATTTTGGGAGGAGGTGGCTGAATAAATCTACTGGGAAAAAATGTCATATTAAAAACAATAAATGGTTACATGGATATGATTTTTTTGAAATTCTGTTAACGTAATACTTGGCTCAAAATGTTATATAAATGTAGAATGTGCTTCTAAGTGTGGAGCAGCCATGTATGGAAATTCTTTGTCATTTGAAATTCATTCTTACTATAGCTTTGTTTAACACATGTCTGCAAATCCTTTTGCTTGTTTTTACCCCAGAATAATTTTTTGTATGTATAATTGTAGCCAAGCATTTGCATTGTTTTTGATTATCTCTATGATCTGAGGTTCAGCTTATTTTGAAGCTATGAACCCTTTGTCCTTGTCCTGCCAAAGCCCTCTACATGTGTAGTAGTTGGCAAGGTTGGCACTTTCTCTGTAAAGAAAATACCCACCATATGATCTCCAACTTAGTATTCACATTGGAAACAATTTCTATTTTTACTGGCCAGGCTAAAAAAAAATACTAGTCAGGTGACATATTTAGTGCAGCATTATATTAAGGTTAATTGCTCAAATCATTCTGGATAAGAAAACTTTTTATTTATTCCTATAACTTTTTAATGAAAATCTATTCAAAGGTTTCCTTCTAGCATGGTGCAACTAAGCATGATATTTGTACCATGGTAATCATCTTGAGCATACAATGTATACAAATGTATAATTTCAAACAGTATATACAGTCATGGCCAAAATTGTTGGCACCCTTGATATTTCTCCAGGAAATCATGTATTTCTCACGAAACGTATTGCATTAACACATGTTTTGCTATACACATGTTTATTCCCTTTGTGTGTATTGGGACAAAACAAAAAAAGGGAGGAAAGAAAGCAAATTCGACATAATGTCACACAAACCTCCAAAAATGGGCTGGACAAAAGTATTGGCACCCTTTCACAACTGCGGATAAATAAGAATGTTACAAGCATGTGATGCTCCTGTAAACTCACCTGGGCAAGTAACAGGTGTGGGCAATATAGAAATCACACCTGAAAGCAGATAAAAAGGAGAGACGTTCACTTAACCTTTGCATTGTGTGTCTGTCTGTGCCACACTAAGCATGGACAACAGAAAGAGGAGACGAGAACTGTCTGAGGACCTGAGAACCAAAATTGTGGCAAAATATCAACAATCTCAAGGTTACAAGTCCATCTCCAGAGAACTAGATTTGCCTTTGTCCACAGTGCGCAACATTATCAAGAAGTTTGCAACCCATGGCACTGTAGCTAATCTCCCTGGTCGTGGACGGATGAGGAAAATTGATGAAAGATTGCAACGCAGAATAGTCCGGATGGTGGATAAGCAGCCCCAAACATGTTCCAAAGACATTCAAGCTGTCCTGCAGGCTCAGGGAGCATCAGTGTCAGCGCGAACTATCCGTCGACATTTAAATGAAATGAAACGCTATGGCAGGAGACCCAGGAGGACCCCACTGCTGACACAGAGACATAAAAAAGCAAGACTACAGTTTGCCAAAATGTACTTGAGTAAGCCAAAAGCCTTCTGGGAAAACGTCTTGTGGACAGATGAGACCAAGATTGAGCTTTTCGGTAAAGCACATCATTCTACTGTTTACCGAAAACGGAATGAGGCCTACAAAGAACAAAACACAGTACCTACGGTAAAATATGGTGGAGGTTCAATGATGTTTTGGGGTTGTTTTGCTGCCTCTGGCACTGGGTGCCTTGACTGTGTGCAAGGCATCATGAAATCTGAGGATTACCAAAGGATTTTGGGTCGCACTGTAGGGCCCAGTGTCAGAAAGCTGGGTTTGCGTCCAAGATCCTGGGTCTTCCAGCAGGACAATGACCCCAAACATACGTCAAAAAGCACTCAGAAATGGATGGCAAAGAAGCGCTGGAGAGTTCTGAAGTGGCCAGCAATGAGCCCAGATCTAAATCCCATTGAACACCTGTGGAGAGATCTTAAAATTGCTGTTGGGAAAAGGTGTCCTTCCAATAAGAGAGACCTGGAGCTGTTTGCAAAGGAAGAGTGGTCCAAAATTCCGGGTGAGAGGTGTCAGAAGCTTATTGATGGTTATAGGAAGCGACTGATTTCAGTTATGTTTTCCAAAGGGTGTGCAACCAAATATTAAGTTAAGGGTGCCAATACTTTTGTCCAGCCCATTTTTGGGGTTTTGTGTGACATTATGTCATATTTGCTTTTCTGCCTCTGTTTTATATTTGTTCCAATACATACAAAGGGAATAAACATGTGTATAGCAAAACATGTGTTAATGCAATACCTTTTTTTTGTGTGAAATACTTGATTTTCAGGAAAAATATCAAGGGTGCCAACAATTTCGGCCATGACTGTATCTTAGAGGAAAGAGGCATTGGAATCTTGGCCTCTTTTTTGGAACAAAACATTATCACTTCTTCGGTTTATGCCAATGTTTAACGCCTATTTTTATCTATTTAAATACTTGAGTATCTAATATCTGTCCATTTTCCAGTATTGTTCTTGTCCAGCACCTAAACATTTTTGCAAATAATACAGTTCTACAAAGATTGAAACAAAATGTCTCCTTTCCTTTCCATTCAGCTAATTGATTGGGAAACATGAATAGCATGGATTTGTAACACATTACCTGGAAAAGAAAAGTCTCAATCCTTGCCATCTGCTGGACACTGATAACCAAACTATCCACTGTGTTGTCAAAGCCACAGACAATCTCTTCAACAGATGGATTAAAGCTGACATCCGATTCTTTCAAGAATGGTTTCTGTGAAAGCAAAAACATTATTTCTTTTCATTTATTTTACATTTTAGCAATGAATGTTTAAATAAGTTTCCTGTTTACAATACAAGTGGTTTCATACAGAGAACATTCTATTCTATAGAAAAAGTCAACTACTCTCCATATGAGCAGCCTCACACAAAACTTTAATTGGTGCATAACACAGCAATATAAAACATTTTATATTGCAAAGTTGAAAGTTTGTTAACACTCATTGCCAAACATACTTTTTTTATATATATTTTTTATTAATGTATTGTGAAGATTGGCAAAATCTTTATCATAACCTCAAAGTTTAAACATCTAGATCCACTGATTCATCAGTAGCTTATTATGCTTCCTAGTCACATGAAAAGTTTTTATTTTCACAATTTATAATTGTCAAGAGTCAGTAGACTGCACACAAAGGAATAGACTTTTGAGCAGACTAGAAGACCTAGCCTACGCCTGGTAATCCACTCATTAACGTATGGGAAGAAATAGCCATTCATTGTTGAAGTAAATTTTTTCTTTAATTTGTGCTTGTCATAACATGACAGCCTAAGGATCACCTAAGGAATGAGGCTTTACATAATCTTTATGGCTTTAGCTAGACAAAAGCTTACTAATTGACAGGTGAAATATGCCTTCTACTCGCAAATCTTAAAAGTTTATATCACCAAAAGCAAAACCAATTAAACAAGACCTTAAGTTGTTTTACTGCTTAACATTTATAAGGCATTAAAACACAGGATGTCAAAGTGGTGCTGTTTTATTTCAAGCCAAGCAACAGTTTAAAAGAGAAATCAATGCAAATAGGTTGACTAACAAGAGGTTCTTCTGGAGACCTATGGTACATTTTCAATATTAGAACATGAACCTATCAGCCATCTTAAACATTGAAAAGTAAAATACTTGCCTAGGAGCAGACATTGCAAGATGCCTGCTATTATTTGTTGTCAGAAAGCCCTCCTCTTTGTGACTCTCTAAATAGAGTCACTTTGTTAGCAAGGACCTATGATTTCTGGGCTACGTACTGTCCTATTCAGTAACAGTAACCTCAGGGATCAATAAAATGTTCTCACTAGACAGGGCATGATGGTCGGGCATGATTTAACCCAAAAGAAAAGTAAATCTTCTAGTAAGAAGTAAATTGAAATCAGATAGGTGCAAATAGGGTGGTTTCTAGCTAACGACTGTAATAGCATGTAAGATGGTTTTACAGCTTGTGGTCCATTTTCCTTCAACTGTAGTGTGTAGATGAGATCTTTTGTTTTTGGAGGACTGTTCCTCCAATTTGAAGATGAGACACTGGTTGGTGGGTGAAGGAGGAGTTTTATAGAGACCATGAGATAAAGAGGACCTAGTCTCTGCAGACGTGAGTAAACTAGGCCTTGCCATGTGGGAGGCCAGGGACTGTGTTCCCCAAAAATTCTAATGGCCTCATGGCCAATCTAAGGAGATTGTAACAGACTCTGTTGTGGGAAACTCTACATCACAATGCGTATACAGCAAGTGAACTCCAGAGACTCACAGAATAATGTTGGAACTTTGTTTTCCAGTTCCAGTGAGTGCCTAATATATGTATCAATATATTACACTTTCAAAAGTTACAAGTTATAAGCAAGAGCAGAGGTTTGTCTCTTGTCTCCGGGACTTTTCTTGAGTTGGGGAGTCAAGTGAGTAGCGTAGAGGGAGCAACAGAAAGGTTGGCCACAGACATTAGTGGAAGGTCAGACATACATCAAGGCAAAACACCACTCTCCAACAAATTATACAGGTAAACTCTATCATGGGTAACAGCAGGTACAATAGCTTAAGGAGAAAAGGTTTTCTAACCTGCCCAATTGAATATTTTGCTGAACAGCAAGTGGCTTTTGGGACTGGGAGAAACACACAGATGTGACATCATAGCTCATTCAGCCAGAAATTGCCAAATAATACAGACATGTACACACATCAGAAGACACTATTTGTCTGTAATGCATAGTCAGATATGCTTACTTTCTAAACATACTTACAATAAAACATTAGGTTAGGGAAATAAAGCTGCTTCAAATTGGACCCATAATTAGATATATTTGTTGTATTAAATCCAAGCATTCTAAGTAATTAAGTGCAATAATAACAGGTATTTATAATCACTCAGAGAAATACAGTACTCCAGTAGATAATGTATTGATGTTTCCTTCTCTACAGATTCTCTCCACCATCTCTGTTCAATTATCTAATATCAGTATCTGCTTCCTGTACAAGGTTCCTGGTCCTAGGATGGTGAAGTCATGATAATGATTTTACCTGTGCAACAATCTTTATCTTAATGGCTGTGTATTCCCATTCATACATGAATCACATGCATCAGCTGCCAGAACATTACATTGTACAGTTAAGTAATGACTGGAGGAGGGGAGAGTGGAGAAGTCCCTTCAGCAAACAGATTACACCATATACTTAGCCTGATTTTTTTTCTCTGAAGCAGATATTTACAAACTGTAGCTAGTCATAGTCACTTGGCTTAAAGCTCAGCATGTTTTTTTATAAAAAAAAAATGTCACAAGTTGTAATTATTCTTGCAAACTTCCAAAGTTACTGATAGGTCTGCTTTAAAATCATAGCAAATAAATGACTGTGTTTTATATTTGTATGCACCATGTTGTATTTTCCCTGTTCGCCCTACATAAAAATGCTTCAAAGCCATCTGTATTTATGGCTCTGCAAATGGGCTTGATTTCTACTAAAGATTTAGTGCCAGGATTCTGATAGGAATGACAGAAGTTAGTGTTGCATGACACTGTCAACATACATATTTATGCCTTCTGTGAAAACAACAATTTGTAATTCATGCCATCAAATGGATTTTTATCACGTTCACAGACTAAGTGCCATTATTACTTGAAAACAAAAGAGACTGTCACATCTTTCATGTGTCAGGCATGTACCCAGTGTATAAAACATACAAAGAGAAATAAAAGCACAGATTATCATTAAGCTGTCAGTCTCAACAATTTGGGAAAGAATATTTACATCTATGAGGAAGGCATTCAAGGGAACTGGCAAGAGAAATACACATATACTATGGAATAAGCTCATAGCTTATTATTTACATCCCTTTTATAGTTATATCTAACTTTACTATCAAAATTATTGGTAGTATATCAATTAATATATACAGTATGTTCATTTACAGAACAGTATGTTTTATGCACAGATTTCATTAAGTATACATAAATTACCTATAGCAAATTACATTTTGTCCCTTTCCATACAAGATAAAAAAACACAGCTGAAAGGTGTTTTCATCAAATCAGACACATTGATATTTTAAGGAGACATTTTTCAATACATCTGACTGAGTATCTGTCTCTGAGCTCAAATTGCATCTTATAAAGAAAACAGTACCTCTTTAGATACAGTACAGTAAGAAGTATCTATACTGCTTATGGCACCCCTATATCCAAATTTCTGAATGTCTGAAGAGCAGTGGTGAGCAATATCTCACAGATCTCATTTCTCTTGCCACTTACAGATCTCAATTCTCTAGCTGCTTCTCAGTTGTCTACCTAACTCGATTTCAAGTTGGCAACAAGTGCTTATTACATGCCATATCATTTTGCAACTTGTTCTATTAAATAAGCCCACATTATTGAAGCAGAATTCCAGACAGCAATCATCATCTCAAATTGTCAATTATTTGTCCCACAAGATGCTCTACTTTACTCTCTTAGCTGCAAACAGTCTATATGTAGCACAGTTCAAAAACTTTTTTCTTTCAAACTGAAAGTATGAAAAATCAACCATTCAACAGATATCTATGAAAAAAGGAAAGCTTTTTACAATGTGCTTTATTTATGCCCTTTTTTTCCCAATCCTCCTGATTGGCCAGTGAAGGAGCTGTAGAGCACAGATGATGTCCTGCCTCCCCAGAGGCGGACTGACAATTTGGAAACTCGGGCATTGCCCGAGGGCCCGGGGTCAGTAGGGGGCCCCATGAGATGCCCCTGGTACCTTTTTCATAGGCTTTTTTGAGTTTAGGCAAGGACACAGGGGCCCCATGATCCCCTATTGCCCGGGGGCCCCATAAGTTGTCAGTCCGCCCCTGTGCCTCCCCCCTCTCCTGCAAGCACGTTAACTGTTTTAACTCTGCTGGATTGCTAGAATACATTGTAATATGCAAACGTATAGCTATCAGATCAAAGTACTGGCCTTCTCTCACTCTCTGCGTCCTACTGCTGCTAGACAGGGGGCTACAGTAAGCTAATGTAAAAACGGTAAATATGCCAGTCATATTAAAAAAAAGAATTGAATAAATATTGAAAAAATGAATAATAAGTTCATAACTAGAATAAGGTTCTTTAATTAGATGCCAGTTGACCTGCTTTAACTAACTTACTAATGATGAAATAATAAAATGTAAATGTTTTAAAACATACCACAAATAGTAAAATAAGATGAGGTTTCTCTATGAGCCAAACATCATCTGATGGGCAATTTCCTTCATAGTGATTTCCTTCATCATATACTTCAACCATTTTCACAAGGTCAGCAATAGAGGCTTCTACTATACTTCGTTGAAGATTGGACATTAGTGTCGCTAAGCAGCAAAATAAGTGATCCATCTTTTTCCTCCGTAACTTCTGGTGAAAAAAATAATAAATAAAGCACAAAAAATGTAAACTATTACACTGTTTTCATGCCAATGCACAGAAGATCATTTATATATTTATAACACATCACAATGGTGATATTCAACAAGTGACATAAAAAAATAACATATACAGTATATTTCTTGATTTCATTGAAACCTGTGTATTAGAAAATTGATGTAATCTCTTAATATCATGTAAAATGAAGTTCATCTAGTACTTTTAATTTTAACACGCTCTAAATATAATAGGTGCATGGGCAAAAGACAAAAGCATCATCAGCTACAAAAAAAAAAAAAAAAATCAGCCAAGTTAAACATTTCTGACTGATTTCTCATTGTTCTCCATTGTCCATGCAGAGAATGTTCACATACTGGAACTTACAACTCATGTTAGGCTTGAAGAAAACAATTTTTTTAATGGTGGGTCATTACCTACAAATGACAGCTATTAAAGATCTATGGCCAGCTTACAACCTAGCACAATGGGTCAGAACATGCCACAAAATGCTGTGTTTTCTAAAGTGTACAGTCACACAATGTCTTCAATTCTTAAAGTGTAAATATGTACAGAAGGTGTATTCTAACTGTTACAAAATTGTTTCATATGTAGTACATAAATACAGATTTCAATGCGCATTTTTAAATGCTATATAAAAACAACCAAAGCAATGAACATTTAATATATAAAGGCATGTTCACACTGAATGTGTAGTGGTAAGGTGTAACAAAGCATGTAATAAAAATGTTGCAAGGCCATTTAAGTGCCCTTACTGAGCTTTACTACTCCAGTCAAAATGAAGGGACTTAACATGCATTATAATATTGGTATGAACAGATCCTTAATGAACTCACTGGAGTTTACTCTATGAACATAATGAAGTAACAGATCATAATACTTCATTTTATGATCTGATAAAACTCATGTGATGCATATGGAACTGAAAAGAACACCCTTTCAAAAAGCATTAGGTTGTGTAATCTATCTGTAAACTGTAATCTAGCTAAAACTTAGCTGTGACATCTCTGCACCTGAAATTTATAGGTCTGTCCACGTCACCCTTTTTTCTAGTAGTGTTTTTTCATACATGGAGAATATTGGAAAATAATACAATTTATTGGGCAGCACAGTGGCTAAGTGGTTATGACTTCCAGCTAGCAGCACTAGGGTTGTCAGTTTGAATCCCAACCATGGCACTACCTGCCTAGAGTTTTCATGTTCTCCTTATGCCTGCGTGGGTTACCTCCCACACTACAAAGACATGCTGGTAGGTTAATTGGCTCCTGTCTAATTTAGCCCTAGCATGTGTACATATGAATGTGAATAAGAGACCTTAGATTGTAAGCTCATTGAGGCCAGTGACTGATATAAATGTACAATTTATACGTAAAGTGCTGTGTAAATTGATGATGCTATATAAGTACCTATAATAAATACATACATTTATAGAATACATGAGATACATTTTTCATGGTCGACTTAACCTGTAACTGCAGTCAAACCTAACTAAGCATAATCTCATCTACCACCTCTATTCTAAACCTATTTGATTTACCCTATAAAAGGAAAGATGTCTATACTTACCTATTATGAGGCAGCTCCAGTCTGGTCACATGATCTCTCCAACAATGGCTTCAGTGTAGAGGAGAGAGCTGCAAAGCCTGAGCAATGATGTCACTCATAGGCTTACTATGGGGCAGCTGTTGTTGGCTGTTCCTCCTCTACCCTGAAGCCGGTCATTTGACTAGACTGGATCAAATTCAAAATAGGTAACTATAGGCATCTTTTCTTTTACAGGGTAGACAGAATAGGCTTAGAATGGGGGTGAGAGCAGGTTTAGGCTTAGGTTTTGACTGGAATTACACTTTAAGATGATTTAATGTTTGTGTCTTTATACATATGTAGCAAATCCAGCTCAGAGTACTAATCTCTAATAGATAATCTTTGAAGTGACTGGATTATTTAAAAGTTCTTAAGATGTAAGACTCCCAGCAGCCAAAGAAATAGTGATTATCATAGACACATAGATTATTTTTGATAATCTTATGTAAATGTGTACCTCAGAAATTCTAAATGGTAGAACGATAAACACATTCTGCTGCCTCTATGTCCTCAGTTATGCATTGCACAGCTCTTTCAACAGTCATAGCAGTGACATTTGTAGTGCTATATTGTATCTACATGACTAAAACCTTTGCAAGCCTATGGGGTTATTTATTTAATTTGCAGTGACCAAAGTAGAGCAATCCAAAGCAACTCATCAACACTTCAGACTAATGGAAATTAAATCCTGAACAGCCTATATGACAACCTTTCTCAAACTTTTTCCCTGGAGTAACCCCAAAATAGTTTTCTGGTTTCAGAGAATACCTACTTAAACCAACTCATCAGGGTGCCATGGGGAAAATGTTGCATTCATAATCAGTGAGAGCAATGAAACCCTTACAGTGGTGGTCAAAATGCTACCTAAAAGGCAACTAAAAAGGACCATTGGTGTCCTGCTGCTGGCTTCATCAAGTTGTATTGGCCCTGGAACTATGCAGGCATAATCAAAGGGGATGTCACTCAGCCACAGCTCAAGTAACATCTAACACCCACTAACAACAACAGACCCTGCTAGAGAATGGCTGTTCTATAATTTTTCAGACTTTGCACATCATCAATTAGTGCTTTTTTGTACTAATTCTCAAAATCACCTCATTAGAGTCAAAGCAAAAGCAGTGTTCAAAATATGGACATAAGTGTGCAATGGTTTTATACTGTTCTATAATCTATTAATTAATATGTTTATTCTCCTAAAACAATAACACACACATTATATAAACCTATACCTAATGATAGCCACGCACATACTGTAGCTAACATTACCAAGAAAGCTTATAGGTGCTTTCTGGTTGGCTGGGACACCCAATGGCATATATGTATTGCATACACCAGCAGCAAATCACTGTCGTTATTATTAGATAAGAGTCCAAGCATCTCATCCCTGAAGTCCCTATAGAAACAAAGAGCTGCTGGAGTTTTAATTCGTCAGCATTTGCAAAATACGTATTTATCAACTGTGATCCTTTAACTAAACCTATCAGGATGAATGCTACCTTTTAGCTCCAAGGCTCCCTTAACTTCAGAACTCCGAGGCATCATGCTAGCTCCATATACAGCACTAATAAGACTGCTTCAGAACTGGCACAGATTCTAGGAGTTGGGCAGTGAGAAAGGAGTTAAATTGGTCCTCCGGTGCTAAATGAAGTAGCAAAGCAATAGCAAACAAGAGCTGTCCAACCAGGTTTCCTTAAGGATTATGATCTTGATTAGTTTCAAATTAATAAAACAACAGCATTTCTTGTCACCAGATTTAAACATTTACCATTGAACAGGAATTGTTTCCGTTCCTTAATATCAGTTGATAGATCTGTTGAATATTTATATAGCTATTTCACTCTCTGCTCTTTGACTGTATTTGACAACTCTCCCTAGGGGGGAAACTGGGAAGTGGCAAATCAATAATTCCATTGACAGCAGGCCCTCATCAATAGCTGTTTGTACTTGCTTCAGCATTTGTGACTAGTATCAGAAGCACACAAAACCCCTACTCAAGCTTTAGTGTAACGGATGCTCAGAAAAACACATGTGAAAAATATTATGTCCCTCAACCACATGCAAAGTCCTTCAACAAGCATTTCCAATCCTTTCTTAGTTTATAGTCAAAATGTGTATGCAGCTCTCCATATTGACAGAAAAAAGAAAAACTTCTGACACAAACAACATAGACAGTGAAAGCAAACCCCTACTACTTCAGAAAACTGAATTTCCACTGCCCTGCCTGCTTGGAATCAGTACAGTATCTTTGTAGTACATGGCACACCAGGCACACATGCTAAGCTGAAGATTAAGCCTGGAAAAACTGAACATTATTCCCTATGAGCCAAATGCTACAGCTTCCTCAAAGTTAATCCGTACACTATACAATGAGGGTTATGTATTAAAACTGGAAAGTGCAAAATCTGGTGCAGCTCTGCATACAATCAAATCGGCTTGCAGATTTTATTGCCAAGCTTAATTGAACAAGCTGAAGTTAGAAGATGCCATGGCTACCATGCACAGCTGCACCAGGATTTGAGTACTCCAGTTTTAGTAATTCTCCCCCAGTTTGTGTCTGCCCTTTCCTTACCTATGCTTGGTTTGAACAATCCCTGTCTAATAAAACATCTCTATTATTACTGTGGCTACCCAGCTAACCTGCCACTTGAGTTTACTTCCACATTTCTGTCTAAACCTTAAGGTTCCATGATTCTAGATATTTATATTTAAAATAATACATTTTTTGAATAAGCAATACAAGCATTTCTCAATACCTAATCCAGAAAGCCAGCAAAGATAATCAAACTATGTGCTGAAAAGCAAGAATCATCATTTTCTACAATTTATAAGCATAAACATACATGTATGAGCTACAAATAAATAACAATTATATTAATGTTCTAAAATAGAAACTCTATAGGAAATTTTTACAACTAACTGACTATTAAAGGAACAATTTCAAGGAAAAAATTGCCTTTAGAACAAATCCACACTATCCTCCTTTATGAGCATTATGGTGTGAACTTTACCCCTGATGGAGAGTAATTAATTGGTATTAGCAACTCAAGCAAGCAATGAGTACAGTTGTTCGGTAATTGTACACTGACAAACTATGTTGCATTAAGCTGACTATATTGATCAATACCATCCTACTTATGTACAAACATGATTCACCCACAGAACACGTTTGTTTCCCCAATTTTGCACACTATCTTTAACACACAAGACAAAGACATATAGGCTGATTTATAACTTGGTGGTCAATCCACCAATAATATAAAATGCAGCCATGTTTTGTTGTTGTTGTCTGTGTCTTGTTTTGAAGAATTCTATTCACTTCTTGCCCCAAACATACAACAGGCTGTAGGTGACAATTTATCTAAGGCAAGGAGAAATCCCGACTTAGAAAACTGTTACTAGAACAGGTGTCCACTTTGCCTCCTCTTCCTGTGTCAACTCTAAAATGTTGGGTTTGCCATCAATTTCTGTACTAGAGACAATGGTCAGATGACATATAGAGAGGGCGAATCTCCCTAGCCCTGACAAGAAATTAAACCTAATAAGGGTTTTTGCGCTTAGCCTCATCCAAAATGAAAAAAACATGTTTTGGCTTCACACTTTAAATTTACAAAGGGAGTACAGTACATTATATTTTATTGTATAGTACTGCAGGTAACTATTGCTATGATTACTACACAGAAACGTTATTCTATCAGCACATGAATATCTCAGTTGCTTAGTAAAAAAAATTACACAAAGAGAATAAGGCAATGGCTTGATATCCAACTAACCTCCATTTTTTTTCTTTTCTTATTTGTGTCTACTGCTGAGGAATTCATGTACTCAAAGTTTTGTAGTACCTCTCTCTAGAAGCTGTACAAAAACTATTGGGCGTGCAATTGTTTCTATCTACTCCACTTTTCCCTGTATTTGCCAAGTTTTGCAGTTCTTTGCTTTCTAGGCTTAAACATTGACCCTCGATGATGTCACACAATTCTTTCCTTGGTCACACCTCAAAACTGTTGTAGTTCTGAAAATTCGCAGACTTCAGACCTCTGAGAAGAGGTAAATGGAGTTTTCCCATTGTTCTGGGAAAAAAATGTGTATCTCAAATAATGTAAGATTAACATTTCCATAAAAACTAGAAAAAGTTCTAGAAAACAAAACATGTTTCTACATTTAACAAAATGTGTGTATCAGTAAGTATTTATGCCACGTACAGCACAGAATACATTTTTACATAACACATCATAATTAACATCCAACATGAGATAATAGTCCGACTGCAGTACTTCTCCAGGACTTCCCCCATCCTCTGGAACTCCCTACCCCAATCCATCAGACTGTCACCTACCGTCCTCACCTTCAGGCGCACCCTGAAAACCCTCCTCTTCAGGGAAGCCTACCCCAACCTCACCTAACACCCGACCTCACCTAACAACTAACCTCCTCCACTCCTCCCACCACTCCATCCCCCACAGCCATCTCCTCCTGTACCACCTTCCCCTCCCTCCTAGATTGTAAGCTCGAAAGAGCAGGGCCCTTGAACCCCTTGTGTATTGTATTGTTACTGTCTTGTCTCATGTTCTGTCCCCCCTGCTACTGTACAGCGCTGAGCATACCCTTTGGCGCTATATAAATACTGTATAATAATAATAATAATAATAATAAAATAACATGCTTACCTCATCTTGTGGCATCTCAGATTCTATGTTCTCTCTGTTTTGAGTCACAATATCACAGCAGTCTCTAAGCCATGTCTCTTGGAGTTCTTCAGATTTCTTTCTGGCTTCACTTCTTATGTGATTTAAGAACTCATTCATCTTCATAGGCACAATATGCATAAGGTTGTCAATATCAAGTAGTCTAAAGTTTGCATACCTAAAAAACAAGAACAAGACAAGCTTTAAAACTGGTGTGTGTGTGTGTTAATACAAATTACGAAACTACTAATCAATGTTAGCAAGGTATTTTTGCAGAGTATTTATGTTACATATTCATTGCCTACCTACTAAAGAGTATGATTTTTCCTTCCTCTCACTGTTTGCAGACAATTATATATCAGGCTGAGTCATGGGACTTGAAGCATTATCACAATTTTTTTTTTTTGTTTTACAAATGGATTTCTGATTCCCTTTATAGCATGCAGTTGCAATAAAAACTGGAAAATGAGCAAAGCTCATGAGACTTTGCAGCTCATATATGAGTACCTTGAGACTCTGAGCTGATCACATTTTTCTCCCTCCCAGGGTCTAAACATTGAAATTATAATGGTAACATTTATGGGGCAGGAAAACTGAATTAGTGTGTTTCCAAAGCTGCATTACTTTACAAAAAATATTACAGGGTAAAGAGAATATTTTAAAAACAAGAGATGCTAGGAAAGTACTAAAATATAGCTTTTACAGAAAATACAATTATGCGAGTAGATGGTTTGGGTGGAAAATAACTCATGGTGACATATATATTTATGTTGCTATTTCTAGTTACCCAGGTATAAACTAAGATGTTAATGTCTGAAAATATGCTATGTGGGTTTATTTTTACCAAGATGCAAATAAACCAGTTGTATTCTGCACATACATAGTGGCAGGAAATTATATTGTTGCAGCAAAAAAAGTGAGTGTTATCAACAGCAAACAGTAGTTATATTAGTATTGTGTACTAGAAAAAGTAATCTGACTGGTTATTATGGGCAATACAGATCTTTTTCTTAAAAAAAAAAACTTACTAATTTGAGATGAATGAACTACTATGAAAACAAGGCATATAGTGGAATGGTATTATTCTTTTCAGTATATGCAAGATGATTTGTCTTGAAATCATACAATTCATGAACTGATTGCCCAACTTCCTAAACTGTGTGATTTTCTGCTAATAGGCAAACACCATGACATTTTTAGTCAAATCTAAAAATTATGGGTTTCATATTTATATAAACATATAAATCATTACCATTCTTAACATGGAGTTTGTTTACTGAGTTCATTTGCAGGAGAGAAGTTAAATTGACATAGATGTAGAAATTAAATCATATTGCTGTGCATGTATTCATGTCATTAGAAATATTAAAAAAACAGACCAAGAACAAAGTTCAATACAATGCAGACAATAACCCCCACCAAGTATGTACTCTAGAAGCAATAATACTCATACTTTGTATAGAAGTGAAGCAACACTTTAGACATGACTGGATGTGTGATGTGCAACTTGTTCTTCAGTTTGACATATGCTGCTTTAACACTTTCATGCCATGGAAAATGGTGCCATCCAGCGCTGTTAGACATCTTAACAAACAAAAAAAAACACAAAAATATAAATGTACATCATATGTGAACTAGTTTAAGTTTACTTAACTAAAGTATACTCAGGGAGATGACATCGAGCTAACAAAGGAAAGCTCAAAATTAACCCTAGAAAGTACTTTTATTAAAGAGGTAGAGATACATTTCAGCAACATTAAGTGAATTTAACATGCTTGGAATATTTATAATCTCATGCAAAAAAAAAAAAAAAGAAAAATTAATAAACAAACTATTAGTAAAGGCAGACTAAAATAAAGACTCTATCTTTATTTTATACAGAGCCAACAAAACCTATAGTGCAGAGAATGTAGGTACAGGCACAACAGTCCTGTCTCAAACTGAGCTTAGAGACCAATATTTTAATCAGTGCTTTACGAATAGGACACAACCTAAACACACCAAGGCCATCTTGTACAGCAACCAGAATCCCCCCCCCCTTATGATTTCATTTTATGTGAGTACAGCAGGCCACCCCACCTAACCATCCCCCTACCTCAAAGGAAAGCCACACAAATGAAATACAGCCCCTGTGGGAACATAATCCATGTCTGTAACCCTGCAACCATGTTATCCACAAGGTCTGATAGAAAACATGCTATGCAGTAGCATGCGAAAACTGGTTAGAAATCATATTTCAGTAACAAGACTAAAGCTGGAGGAGATTAATTCTGATTGGTTGTTATGAGTTATAGCATGTTATATTACACTGTATCTTATGAAAATTAAAAAAATTGTACCTAAATACAAGCACAAACTTCACCCTAAATGTAATTTCTTTTATCAGCTCTTTTAATAGCTTCTATCATAAATGCTTGTGCAATAAACAGATTGCAATATGTAATTTTCAAATGTATAAACGCTCCATTAGCCCAAATTCAGCCAACAGTAAAAATGTATGAAACAGGAACTCAAATTAGCTGTAAGAGAAATTGGAACGTTGGGAAAATTGTAACTAAGCATTTCAAGAACGTGGACTGCTTTTCTTATATAGAAGTCTCATTTCTAATCTGATGCAAATTCTTACAACAGCCCTAAAAATCCCATCTCTTTGGAATGATTGCTGACAATGAATAAAAATAGTTATCTGAAGCACTCTGCCTAGATTTAAATAACAATACACAATGTGTACACTGTCTGACAGTTCTTCTTTTCAATTCTCCCTGTGGCTGCCACTCTTCTTATTTCAATGCAATCACCCTGACCGCCTGTCTCCTTCCTTCCTTTGTCACTTTCTATCATCATGACCACAGCGGTTTTATTACTGGCACTATTCCCCTTTACCTTTGCACATTTCAGATCTGTATCTACAGCATGCGTAAAGGGATCACATTAACAGGAAAGGTGATGGATGTGAGAAATGTGATGGCAGCACTATACCACCTTGCTATGCAGTCCTCTGAGAATTGAAAATGCTCCAGTAAACCATTGTATGAGCTCCATCAAATACAATGTTCCCACCGGGCCAGCTCCATTACAAATATTGGTCTCATTTGTTCCAGACATGAAGCACGCGCAATTTTTCAGAGCCCACAAAAGCTCTTCAACTCCTATCGTATTGTGGGCTATGAAACTCATTATCAAGGAAATAAATGTCCTGTTTCTTTGGAAGAACTCATGAGACATTTTTTCTTGCCATATAATTCTCTTGGTCTCTAATAAATCTAGAAATAAATAAAAAGTTCTCTACTACATACTGCCAGTACAGACAGAAATGCCTTAACTCAGTAAGGCAAAAGGACATATTCAGTAAGTGCGATCAGTGCTAGCAGCATCAATAGTAATGCCAAATGCGGTAACTGATAATAATCATTCAAACCACCTTGCAGTCAACTGAAATCTGATTGGATGCTATGTACAACTGTATTTCACACCTTTATTTGCCTTTGCTGTAGCGGTTTAGGTAAAGTAGTTGTGAACATACTATGTTATAAACACTTCATAATACAGGTATAACTATATAAGCACCATAACTACTTTTGCTCAGTATCAGAAATGATCTCTCAACTTTTTTTTACTAGGTTAAAAGTTCTGTTTGTGACCATACATCTCTTCTTCCTGATAGTGGGAGGTGGGGATACAGGGCACTGTGCAGACATACGGGGAGAAGAAATTTACTAAAAATGGAGCACTCAGAATCTGGTGCAGCTGTGTATGGTAGCCAATAAGCTACTAACTTCAGCTTGTTACGTTCTGACAATAAAACATGGAAGCTGATTGGTTTCTATGCAGAGCTGCTCCTGATTTTGCACCATGCAGTTTTAGTATATATAAAAAAAACCACAGTGCGCCTGTATTCCATGGTGTTCAGCCTGAGGCAATATATAGGCTGTATTTGAGCAGGAGGCATTTTTAAGAGGCAGGCTGTGATTGGGAGGGGGTGTATGCCAAAGGCAGGCTGTGGTTGGCAGAAGGATGTGGAGACTGAGCAAATTACCCAATACAGGCATTTTTGCATTTTCACAGAATCCTGTACCTCTGAGTGGCCAGCAAAAGGATGAAAACTGACCAAGCTAACACAGATCACCTTCTGTGCTTTGTGTGGTCAGTTTAGCACAAGGAAGAAAAGCGACTGGCATAATCAACCAGGTACTTCAGTTGGAAGAAGTACATCAAAATGATAGAGACTATGATTTAGTCTTGTTGTTTTATTTGACAACATATTTGTATTTCAGTCCATCCATTCCTGCAATTTACACAGCTCTTCTAGACTTTACAGCCAGGGTGGTGACATTTCTCTGCTGCAGTTAAGTAACACAACTAGGTCATAGTCTATCTCCAGGCTGTGATTGGAGAGTGAAAAGAGTAGCATCAGATAGTGTGACAGTATGAACGGCGAGGTGATCGATGGATGCTATGTGTCACCTCGAATTCGGTCATACTTTGAAGTTTAAGGTGAAATCCACTCTGGGTTTTCTGGGCCACTATGGCAGAGGTGGTTCCGGACCTGATTTTGTGGTCCACTAATGACCACCAACAGGTGGTGTAAATAAGGCAGGGCTGGAGCAAGAAGCTGCTCATGGCCTGGGACTCAGAGAGCCATTCTGAGAGAGATGTGTGTGTGTTATACCAACCAGAAAAGGTTTGCATATTGTTTTGTTTTTGGGTGACAGGGAGAAGCCCTTCACCTGTGAGAGAGGAAAAGTTCTATGTTTAGTTAGTGCCTGGATGGCAAGGTTTTATTTTGCTGTTTTGTTTGTTTTGACATTTTTGCAAACCTGTGAATAAAACTGACAACCAGTCAGATTTTTAAGAAACATAAAACATAGCAGCATGACAAGTGCAACACTGCTCACACAGAGTGGTTATTAGAAGTTCTGATGAAGTCTGCGGTGATTGGCGGACGAAACGCGTCAACGTGATGACATCATTACTCTCGGCGTCTCCATAGACCGCGGTGCCCACGAGGAAGGAAGAAGCGGTTTGCTTCAGCTCCACATTGGAAAGGCAGGAGACATTCTAATTATGATGAGGACATCATCTAAAGCAGCCCGCACATGGCAACCTTGAGTCACAGCCTACTTCCTCCGGTGGCAAGTTTATAGCCGTTAGGCTAAATTAGGCTTTAGTGCTAATAATATTAATGGGTTACATACCCTTACATTTTTGGAAACCCTGTGCCTATTTACCTCACTTGGGGGAATTTTTTGAACTCCTATTGGAGAAATATCTGTATACTATGCTATATATGTGCTGTGGCATGCTTCTACAGTCTCATACATATTTTCAAGGAACCGCATTACTTTCTCACTATTGAGCAATCTTTGGAAACCCAAATTTGGGTCTATACATTCATATATACATAGACTGTATCAACCAGTCTGGACTTTACATATCAACTACCTGGCTGCCCACCCCCATATTCACTCTTTCATCCAGACCTGATCTTACTTCAAGTGAGGAGGAGTCCCCTTGATCTTTTGTATGATAATATTGTTTAGATTTTTACCCTTATTTTAGTCTTATTCAGGTTTGCTGGTAGCTTTATATTCATGTCTCATATTTATACACCTTTAGAATCACTTACTACTGTGGATACATTTCCATTTGGGGTGGCTATCCAGGAAGGCCATATATCCATCCTTTCATGATGGTCAAGTTTATGAGAAGGTAATGGAATAACATATATACCTGTCATGGGGCTGTTTTGTTATTGCATATGGTCAGTACATATTTCCTATTTTTTTGTTCCCTCTACTATGATCCCTTTATTTTTTTCTGGTTTTCCATTTTCAGGAGGTCATTCTATTCACTGTGGTGGTCACCAAAACAATTTTTGAAGAATGTTCCCCTCATGCAGATATTATATGGAAAATATGGAAATCCTCTGATCTAGTAGTTAGGAACTTCATTGCCTGATTGCCGAATACTATTAGATCTGGAGACGCCGAATGTTTTTAATTCAGTGATTTTATAAAGATTTGTTTACCATGTCTCTGTCTAACCTCAGTATGATCCATGTGATCAAATAAAACTTGTTTGTTAATACTTATTATATTACTCCGCTTGCATTTTCTAATAACCACTCTGTGTGAGCAGTGTTGCACTTGTCATGCTGATATGTTTTATGTAAAGCATTTGGGTTTATAAATCCACGCTAATTATTTGTAAGACGGAGATATTTATATGACACATATTTACGTGTCATGTTAGGTGGCTACCCCCCTCTCTCTTCCAATAGATTTTTAAGAAAGCCTGCTGTGCGGTCTACCTTTTTCCCAGGGAAGGTGATCCCCCACCTGAGCGAACCCCACAATAGATAAACTCATCCATCTATCACACTGCTCTCTCCTTTTTTCAGCATGTTCTTTGTTAGCATATGAAGACTTCATCTCAACTGATTTGTTCCTTGTGCTACTTCACCCGTTCTCAGTCTAAACTCTGCTGTAAAGGGAATTGCAAGATGGTGATACTAAGTCAAATTCATGTACATTGATTAGTTGTAGTAGAAAAAAAAAAACACTTCATGCCTTTTTAATGAACACTTACCTGCAAGAATTTGTGTTTTGTTCAGCTTTAATGAGTTATTGTGGCAATTGTAGACTGCTGAAATGCAGTTCTTATAGCTTACTACACAGTTTTTCTGTGATTTATTCTATTGAACAAAACCTTGCATGAAAGAAATAAATAGAATGCCAGTGTCGGCAACTATAGGAAAATGCTAGCTACGTGGCTGACATGCTAATCTCAAGTATGAAACAATTATACATGTCAGAGGTAGCTCAGAGTGTTGCTAGAGAAAGCCAGGCAACTAACATTTTCAGAAGGCAACCAGTAATTGCAGGCCAAGTACTTCTCTTATGACAGGGGTCCTGTAATATCAATGACCTTTCAATATTCACCTTTTTTAGAAACAAGCTATTAAAGGCAAGGTAGAATAGCACATGCAATATTAATACTGTACTACAATAAACTATCCACCTTGTATCAGTGTAGCCTAGCCAGTTTGGGGCTCTTTCACGCAAGATGGGATTCTGTGTAGTCAGCATTTTTTAACCAACAAATTTACAGGATACTTTTAAATAGATTCCATAGGATCCATGTTCACCAGATAGATGCATTAATGGGGATTTACAAGAACTGGAGAGTGTAAAATCTGGTGCAGCTCTGCAAAGAAACCAATCAGCTTCCAGGCTTTTTTCTATCAAAGAGTAATTGAACAAGCTGATTTTGGAAGCTGACTTGCTATGAAGCACAGCTGCACTGGTCTCTGAGTGCTCCAGTCTTAGTAAATCCCCCCCTTTGTGTGTTTAAATTGGAAGTCCAAGTTAGAACTAACTAAGCTTTAAACTGCTTCCGCCCCCTTTTAACACCTATACTAATTACCTGGTGGAATAAACATGCTTATACTTAAAGCAGACCTTCAGTCTATTTTTCATGTTGGCTCTGCTATAGTGGTCTCCACATCTTACATCTTTAATAGCATTGGAATAAAATACTACATTTTTCTATGTATAAATACATTTTCTGTAGGGCTACCTATGTCATTCGCTTAGGCAGATAATGTAGGATCCCATAATCTCCTTGATAACTGAAATTTAAAATGCTGTGAGACTCAGCTGCAAGGGGAGAGCTGGAAGAGGGCTGGAAGATGACTGAAGGAGGGCTGGAGGGCAGAGAGGAGAGGAGACAGGTGGAAGAGGTTGAAGACCATTACTGCACTTGCATGTGCTCCACGCTGCTGGAATGCGCATGCATGTGATTTGCCTTTACCAAGGGAGGGGATGAGGCAAAGTTAACAGGAAGCAAAGAAAGGTGATGGATTCAGCTGCCCAAGGTTAATATGACTGCGGTGGCATCACAGAGTGAGTGCAGTTCCAGGCTAAATTTTTCAAAACTACAGATTTTGATAAATGAAAAGGCTAAATCAAATAAACCACATTGTTGCATGCTGCTTATTATTTTTTCTGAAATGTATCAAGTTTACCTAAAGTTCCTCTTTAACTATTCTCAGAGTGCTCTAGTCCGGTCATGTGATTGGCTCCCAGCGGCCAGCTTTGGGGGAGAGGAAGGACAGCTAAGAATGGATGCCCCATAGTAAGCCTAAGAATGACATCACTGCCCAGGCATTCCATCTGTTGTTGGCACTCTCTCCTCTCCCCTGTTTCCGGCCACTGGGGAGATCACATAACCAAACCGAAACACTCTAAAATATTTAAGCATTGCCCTTGGGTTTTCCATTCAGGTCAACAAAATGCAGAATTTTCCAACATATCACTAAACAACTAACCTTTGGTGATATCGTAATTTCAAGCCTCTGTTGTTCCATCGGATCCAGTAATATATAGTCTACAATGGACTTCTTAATAGCATAGATATAGTTTTCCTCTGCCTCCTTAAAACAAACACAAAAGAACAAAAAGTTTGAATAAATTTAAATACTTGAATTCCAAAGCTGTAATAGTATAAAAATATGACCAACAGATACATGAATGCAGGTAATGTAGATAAAAAATGATATCTTATATTGAAATTTTTTCATATATATATATTTCACGAAAGTCATCCCTTAATTAAAAGAAAGCAAAAGGAGGTTTAAAATATATTAGTGCATAATGCTTATGGTGTATTAAAACATCTTTGGAAGATGCCTTTATGAAAGCTGCTGTTCTGGTAAATGAGCCTATTTGTAATTATTACTATCACTTGTTTTGGACAGAAAGATGCAAGATATTCAGTTGGTTTGGACTGTATATGCCAATCAGTGTTGCCAACTTCCTGCAGCATTTTTTACTGACAAAATATGGAAAATTTACTGACAGAGCACATTTTTTTCTGACAACCTGAAAAATTATATTAAAAATAAATATAGTTAATATATATAAACGAATGAGTAATTTGACTGGTTTACACTTACAAAAATCAACACAGACAGATTATAAGCCCCTTATATTTACAGGCAGTTATAAATATTTACTGATGGTTGGCAACCCTGATGCCAATGAACATGTTAATCTAAAAGGGCTTCTTTATTGCTTATCTTAACTAGAAATTAGACCCAGGTTTTCTAATTATTATAATACAGGATTTAAGTAATTCCCGACCGCCCCATAGCAGAACTACTACTACAGGGTGGCAGTGCTGTGCAAAATCAAGTATATACATGTGATTTTGCATTTTCAGGTAGGGGGCGCACAGGCAATCTGCCCTGCCCACAGTACCATTGGAGGCTACAGCTATCGATCACCGAGTCCTGGCCAGAGATTCTCTGCTGGCACCTGGCGATCAACAAGGAACACTGACAGGGGGAGAGTTTGTACGTAAACAATACGGATCTCTCCCATGTCAGCACCAGCATGCTGCTTTGTGTTGCTCTGCATAGCAGAGCAATGCAAAGCAGAATGCTTACCTAGTAAAACACACACAGCACACATACTAAAAGAGCACACAGTTAACCCTTTGATCACCCCAGATGTTAACCCCTTCCTGCCCAGTGTCATTAGTACAGTGTCAGTGCTTTTTATTAGCACTGATCACTGTTTTAGTGTCACTGGGGATGTCAGTGGCAGTTAGTCAGTGCCCTCCCAGTGTCAGAATGCCCATAATAAGTCGCTGATCGCCATCATTACTAGTATTTAAAAAAAAAATCCATAATATATACGCCATTTGTAGATGCTATAACGTTCACATAAACCAATTAATTTACATGTATTGGGATTTTTTTCTAGCAAAGACATGTATCAGAATAAATTTTGGCCTACATTTATGATGAAATTAGATTTTTTTTCATTTTTTTTACTGGATATGTTTTATAGCAAAAAGTCAAAAATATAGGTTTTTTTTTCAAAATTGTAGGTATTTTTTTGTTTATAGTGCAAAAAAAATAAAAAACACACAGGCGATCAAATACCACCAAAAGAAAGCTCCATTTTTGGGAAAAAAGGACATACATTTAATTTGGGTGCAGCATTGCATGACTACGCAATTGTCAGTTAAAGTAATGCAGCACTGTATAGCAAACAATGGCCTTGTCAGAAAGGGGGGGTAAGTCCTCTGAAGGGCAAGTGGTTAAAGTATAGTGCCAACAGTTTGCACAGCATTTTACAAAATGGATGGTACAGTTTCAATACAATTCAGAGAGGGATTAGAGGGCTCTGCTCATTATAAACCAGATATTTTAATCTGAGCCACAGGTATTCATGGCTACGTCCAGGATCCAGACTTACACACAAAAAAAACGGAACTTTACCCTTCCTGACACGTTTCCTCCTCTCTATCCCACCCCCCTCCTCTGCACAGCTATCCATTGTCTTTTTTTCTCCTTTTGTTTTCTTACCTTTTTAACAAAAAGTATTTATTCCCGCCTAGGCGATTTACGTCAGCACCCCCAAGTGCTTCTTGGGATATGTGATTATGTGATGTGGATATCCCGAGAGGTGCTGGGAGCACCCATTCAAAAAAGGAGGAAGGGGCAGGCCCAGCAGCTTGTCATAGGGAAGATTGTCTTAGCCTACTGATTACATCCCAGAAGAAGATGGCGAAGCGGGACCCGAGTGCTGGCTACAGAGAAGGGGATTTCAGCAGATCATTGCTGGATCCACTGGGTTGGTGAGTATCTTTCTTGAGCAGAACACCACAACAGGTTGGCAAGGGGAAAAAAATAGGGGGGTGGGTAAAGTTCTGATTTAAAGTGCATGTAAACTCTAACAATAAATGTATTGTATTTGTGCTAAGAAAAAACTACAGTGCCTACTAATCACGTCAGGCCTTCAGAACTGTCTTGTGTCTTGTTCACATTCCGGTGTTATCTCAAAGAGTTTAATTTACCCTCTTAATTCTACTTTGGACTACAGAATAATTATTGTCTATGTTGTAGTGATGAAGAGAGTGGGAGGATTTTAGTAGTTAGCAAAAGACAACTGGATATGACTGACAGCACTCAGTCCACAAAAATGTTGTGTACTACAAAAATGTACTATCATCAGCCCAAAACAGAGCTTATAAACTAAGTAGATTTCTAGCAGATCAACAGGTACATTTGTGCTTGTAGGATCTTTAAAGGGATAAAACAAGAGAAAAGTGCATACATTTTTTGGTTTATTTGTTTTATATTGCCCTGAGATATATTTTAGGTTATTCACAGATAAAAGATATTGATCTCATGTCTACGGCATTCTTATGTGAGTTACTAGGGAGGATCAATTGATCACACTATTTAGAAAACGAGACCTTGTTTCTATTGCTCTTTCCAGTGATAAGCAGCACCAATATCGTTGACACTAATCTCTACTTTGCATCCTTCTTTACAGCAAAATGTGTGTTGCCCAGCTAAGCCGATCTTTCATGTTTGTGGGTAGGATGGCATAGGACTTTGTAATCATGAAAAGTGACACTGACTTTATGTATTTACCTGAGAGAAGAACAAAGAACTCTATCTTTAGAAACACTGATGAATGAGGTCCCATGTGTAAGTTAGTACTGATGTGCAATAAATATCTATGGACTTATCTTTTGTATATAGAAATCTGTTCTACTCTTTATTTGGGATACCACATAGAGAGGCAGTTTGGCACAATCCTATAAAGAGGCAGAACTGGTACTTAATTATAAAAGAATTTGTCAATTACAGAATCGTTCAAACGTCCTTAAGCTGACTTCTGCTCAAACAATAATTTGAAGCAATGCCATCAACCTTACTGGAAAGGATACTTAAGGACAGTTAGAAAACCTGAAATATATTTTAGAGAGACAATGCTGTATTGTGCCCCTTTCTGGAAACATTTTGTTGTGTGATATCAGCTGAAATGTTGTCTCAAAGTTCAGACTGACTGACCCTTCTCTTAAGCAGAGAAATTGACAAAAGGCTTTAGTCTTCACAAGCAGAAAAAAACACTATGGAAAAGTGTTTTCTCCATAAAATGTGTTATATGTCTAATACTTTCTTTTTATCTATTGCATCAAAACTGTAGTCGCTTATTCACATCAACCCACAGTGTTTTACCTCAGTAAAGTTTCTACACCAGAGCTGAGCTGCAGTGTATTGATAAGTTGCATGCTGGGTGGTGTGAAAAAGTGCAGTATATCTGCAATTTTTCACACCTCACATCACCTCTGTATTGTGTGGCAAATGGGTCATGAAGAAAACTCTTGCTTTTTATGCACCCTATCAGTGATTTGCATTGTTCTTGTGCAGAAAAAAATGCATGTGACCACATATAGTGCGAATAAGTTAACAATTCCTAAATTGGGAATGCTTAGAGCATCAGGCAGGTCTTACCTGCTGTCCTTGGCCACACTAGAAACATTTACCACAGTTCTTAGAGGATCTAGAAAGCAATAGAACCTGATAAGGGTTTCTACTCCACCCTGCATTATCTAAACCCAAAATCTTTTGCTGAAGTCCACATTAAATGAAATATGATCATAGGAAAAGTGCACACACATATGCATTTTAATAGGCTTTGCGATCTCTTTTGCAAGGTACCACGCTGACATTGACAAGAATGTGGCCCGGTATGGTACAGAAATGCCCTCCATGGCAGTGCCCAGCTTACCATACCCTTTTTCAACAATTTGTGGATTATTAGCTTTGAAAAAGGCCAGAAAAATACCCAGTTTAACCTCCCATAGACTTTAATTGGTTGCGGCACTAAGTTTGATGTTTGCAGACTTTTATTGGGTTTGCCTAATCTTCAAGAAACCAAAATTGGGCCACTTTGCTCATTATTAATTGATACGTTCATTATACAATTCTAACATTGCATCATCATTTTGCATAGGAAAACTTTTATATGCAGCCACATTAAGAACCAAGATTCCTAATAATTCCATATACAGAGTAATGCAAATTAAGAAACAATATGCTAACACTGATTGTATTAATTGGTGTTGACTAAATTTGGCATTAATTACAAATCAGCAATCTGAACTTCTACAAACAATTATAACTGTATGTATGGAAACCTACACATTCAAAATGTTGTTGCATTCTGTACTCATAATTCATTGAAATGTTGATCAAGATGTGAAATCTATAAAATATATTGCACTTTGGATCACTTTTATTCAGAAGGTAGTGATTGTAGTATAGAGAATACAATGCTAAAATGTAAGCTTATATATGGAGATAATAAGAGGATACAATTATTCATCTAGGACTGTTAGTATTCATAACCTTGCATATGTCTTTTTAACAATTTATTCAGGGAATGTAACACTGTGAACATATTTTGCAGATAAAGTCATCAAGGAAAGAACAGAGGTGCACAACCCATTGGTCAAGATCCCAGATAAATTCCTATTTATTATTAAGAATGGGGATTGGATTAGGCAATACTCTGAGTTTGTGGCAAATCCCTGAGGTTTGCAAACTTTTGGCCAAAAGCTTTGCAGGTC